TTTCGACGCGATTCTCACTATGGGTCATTCGGAAACAGTCTTTTTGTGCTTTAGTACAGGAATAAGACTGCCTACATCCGACCCCCCTTACCCCACTATAGGTGGGAGCCTTTGCGGCACTAGAGTAATGATGATGATGAGAGTACTATACCATTTAATTTTTAATAGCACAATTGAAAACTCATGATGTTCAAAACTCAATATTTTGGTAACCACAGAACCACCAACAATTATCATGCTCCTGGTCTAAATCGAATGGCCAAGAACTAACAATTCAAAATTCTAGTCTTAACTAGCTATTAAAAGCATTGCTCAAATTGAGTTTCCATAATAGCATAACCAATTTGATGAATAAACATCAAGTTCAACTTCAATTTTTTATTTAGCTAAACCAACAAAGTGCTTGCAAACCTAAGCGTAAACATCCAATTTTTAATGCAAAAATGGGTAAACCTGGACACTTCACATATGAAAATAAAAGTCCCCTACCAAACACAAAGAAATGTTAGGTAATTTACATAAGTTCTATACAACCATGTATGCAAAGCATGCCAATGATCAGTGGCGGAACCAGAACAAAATTTGAGGGGAGAAAAAAATCAAATCATCGAGTTGGAAAGATATATAATCTCTACTGTATTCTTTTTTATGTATTTATATAGATTAATTTGATCTCAAATTGAATGCAGAAGAAATATTTTCATTTTCATGAAGTGAATCTTTATTTAGACCTATATACACAAGCGCACACATACACATACATATACAATCACATATATTTCCATCTATATTTGTTTTCTAGTGCTCAAACAAAACAATAAACTTTCTCTTAACACGCGAGTTTATTTCGATTTAAAACTCTTGTCATTTTATTTTAAAGTTTTGTTTAGATTTCGATTTAATACGCTCGTTTTAAATATCAATGTTTAAATAGAAATATAGCTAAACAAATAGAGGAAGATAAATTAAAACTCCCATACGGAGTATATGTAAGTTACTAACTTATCAAGAAAATAATAATTTTGTTTTTCTCTTTTCAATTTAACGTTGTTTCTAGGTTATTTGTTTTTTAAAAGGATATTAATTGTTTTATTTATGCAAATGTATTTCATAAATTTATTTATACACATATAATTAAAGTCGCATATTTCAAATATTAACAAGAAGTTTTGGCATATTTGTACTAAAGCAAAGAATAAATAGTTATGTTAGGTTAAAACTTTATAGTCATTGCACTAAACAGAAAATGTAAATAACATGTCAATATTCGAAAAAGTAAAAAAAGTTAAATATTATAAATTGGAAAAATAAAAATGTAAAATAAAAGTAAAAGAAATGTAGTGCGATAGGAAAAAATTAAAACTAAAACAGTCACAAAAGAAGAGAAAGTAGAGGAGGTTTAAACAATTAAAAAAGACCAGGCGCCAGGGAGACCCGAACCAGAGTTTGTAAGGATGCTGGAGCAAACTTCTATCGTCTCTGCTACCTAGATTACTGATTACAATTCAGGTCGGTGTATATTTATTACATTACTTTGAGACGGGGCTGTACATACATATATACATACATATACACCACCATCCAGTGGCGGACCCAAAAAAACAGAGTCACGGGGTCCCTACTATAACATTTTTTAAATTAATTAATATAAATTTAATTAAACAAAATTAAATATAAAGAAGCATAACACATTTCATAATTCGTACATCATCAAAACTTTAAGATAATGTAAAGCAAAAAAATAAATAAAAAGGGAAATCATGATCGTGAGGTTGAAACTGCCCTTTTTGAAGGTAACTACGGCGTACCTTGTCTTGAAAATTAGGATGAAAATCAGCAATTTTTTTTCAATCTAGGATCAACTTTCCATGATTCAAAATTGCTCGTGTATATTATAAGCCAAATTAGTTTCACTTCCAGCCATTAGTTGATGCAATTTTTCATTTACTAATAATGAATAATTTGAATTAACATTTGAATTACTCTCGATACTCCGAATTTCTTTGAATCTGGGTACATTACCGTCTACCGATTTATTATTATTATTATTATTATTATTATTATTATTATTATTATGATTATTATTATTATCATATATCGTAAAATATTGAGAAAACATTCATAAATATATAAATGTATTGATCTAATCTAAAAACATTAACGTCTTAAGAAATTTTAATAATTAATCTAAAAAATGAATTATGCAAAGGTCAAAGAGTAAACCAAAAGAAACTAGGCGAGCGAGTCAGTGGAGTGTATTCGAGATGGTCTGAAACGGGAGAGGCACTAACGATGGATGCTATGGTCTGTTAATATAAAACTACTACGTAGTAAGTTTGAAAAATAGCAAAATTGTTGAAGAGGGAATCAAACCCACTACCTTAACGCAAACAAGAGTCTTAGTATCACACATGCAAACGTTGGACAACTCCGGTTTTCTTATTCTTCTGTAGCTTTTTATGTATATATACATTATTAATCAATTTTATATCAAATATATGTAATATATAGCTATTTTTGGAAATCCATGGGGTCCCGGGACCCCATGGGACCCTTAGTGGGTCTGCCATTGCCACCATCTCCGGCGAACGGGGGGCGGCAGTCACATTATCGATGCGTATATATACATATATACATGTATATATACATATACATACATACATACATACATACATACATACTATATTGTGCTAGAGCTCGGCTCACAGTCACGTTATCTAATCTCTAGGCAACTTCGTAACCTAGACTCCATTCATTTTGAGTAACCTTTAAAGCCTACTCCTAATGTAATTTAGAGTTCACAAAGTCCAACTTAAGAATATCTCTTATGGCTAATTTGAGCGTATTCATCACAATTAAATCTCTTAGGATTATTTCCAACAATCATTCGAACTAACATCTCCGACTAGTATTTCAATACTAGTCATTTGACCTTAGTACAACCAAATTCTTAATTTGTAGTCATTTGTTTTTTTCAATTTAATTCCTCATCCAAGTATAATTTGACTTTAATATCAAAATGTCACTTTTATCCTTTCATGATTTCTTTACATGAAGTAAAAGTACATTAATCACAATAAAATTTATGGTTAAAACAACCATCATGCCATCATATTTATAACACATAATCATACACAATTTATTCATAAATTTGTATATTATGCATTTCTCTATTTATAAATAATAGTAATTTCACTTAGGCATTATTAATCACTAATAATCCATGCAAATCACTTTTAATTCACTTAGTTAATCTTATGAAATTAACCCAATAATTATAAGCAATATAGTCGGTCATCCTCACATCGAACTAGCGCTATGAAGTTCTACCCCTCGGTTGAACTCCGACGAAACTCCGGCGACTTTCGACAAACTCCGGCGACAACTCCGGCGATTCTTTCAACTTCGTGAAAGAACTTGGAACACCTTAAACAAGTTGCTAACAAGGTTTTATAATCATAAAACCCATATTAATACAAATAACCTCTAAAAGGTTATTTTCCGGCGAACCGGTCATTTTGGCCTTTAAGTCCGTTCTTGGACTCAAAGTTACCTTTCAACCCATGATCCCACACTTATAACATATGAAAAAATCTTAAGGGTTCTTCATATGACATATATCTCATATGGTAGGAGAAAAATAAAGGAAAAGTTAGTATAAGGTCATTACCTTAATTTTTCTCACTTTCTCCCAACTTTTTCCTTCTTAAAACCCCTTCTTTGGACTCCTTCTTGAGCTCGTGCTGCAACAATGGAGAATGGGTTGAGGGCTTTCTCTTTCTCCTATCTTGGTGGGTTGGCCGAAATAATGCAAAGGAAAGGGGTAGGGAGTGTTCTTTTTGTCTCTTTTGGCAAATGAGTGAGGTCAAAGGGTCCCTTTGCACCTCCTCCGCTTATTCTCTTGTCAACCCAGCTCTCCATTTGTTTGTTCAGCCCCAAAAACGTGGGGTGGCCCCCACTCATGTGGGAGGTCATCCCCTTGTGTCTCAAAATGTGCATTCGGTCCCGAAAGTTGTATTTTTCGGACTGTTTTAAATATAATTTATTTTATCGGGTCAAATAAAATATATTATGTGTTCTTAATCATTATGAAATTTATAATGAATATACATTCCCCAACTTTAATTAATAAGTCTCCGAAATTCATTTCGGGCTGTTATCTGTTAAATTACCAATACCGGTAATTGGGCCACTTTTTGACAAATCAGTCCACATTATGTCTTTTCTTTGGCCCAAATAAATTATCCACCACTATACAAATATTATCTCGACCAAGATGAATAAAATATATAGTCTCAGGAATATCGGGCGGTCCCCGCTCCCGGTGTAGGCCCCACGTGCAAATTTACTATTCACGTGAAAGAATTAATAAAAAATTCACAACTTCGTAAATTCATTAACCATTCCATAAAGCTCAATACATTATTCACTTAAAAGTAAATATATTTGGGGACAGTGTTACATTCTTAATAACCGGGTCACCCATTTCGTTCCAATATTAGTGCGTCGAGGGTAGTATCTAATCTAATCTAAAATCTAAAATATTATAATAGTGAATGAAGGTAAGGACATTTTAGGTATGAAAAATATGTTGGTGTAATTATAAGCTAATGTAACCTTGTACTTTGAGCTAAAATCATTGTGCCTCACCATCTTTAAAACCTAATAAATCTCCATTACGTTAGTTAACTGATGTCCAAGCTTTTAATACAAGAGTTTTCCGTTAAATAAATTACTCCAACACAACTCACACTTTTTTTCCTTGCTCTAATCTTTCCATAGTGTTTTTTTTTGCTTAACAAATATACTATGTAACAAACTATGCTATTATCATTGTTGAGTTTAATCTAACACGATATAGTAAATATATGTATGAACACTCAGTTTTTACGTGGAAACCCGAAAGGGAGAAAACCACGGGACTTTTTAGGCTAATGTCCAAGCCCTCTCAATTCTCATTAGGCTCTCCTCACCAGTACATTTGTTCAAGCTCTATTAATGGAGGATAAAACTAATCTAGAGAGAAGGGGAAGAAGAAGAGGATCAACCAAAAAAGAGTCCCTAAACATGTGGGAAAGCCCCATATTTATAGGGGTAAGGGAAAGGGGGGAACCTAACCTTATGGGCCAAGTAAGCCCAAAATGGGCCCAAGGGGCCGAAACATGCCTAATAGGCTGAAATGGACCTTGTCATTCGGGCTCCAAGCTGAAGCGATGCCTTGGGCTCCTGAACAGTAACGGACCGGGATAATATACCTCAACACAAGTCCCCCAGTTTCTTGAGTAGTGAGCGTGCGAATCTGCTCGAGATAGTATACTCTTGCCTACGCTCTTCCTCTGCCTTCTCTGCACATGACCTCGGCTTTCGGAGCAAAGGCTAATTCAATGCGTTGGCCTGGGTGCGAGGGATTGGGGCGTTCGGCCCACGGATGCCCGACCCGACTTCCTTTGGACGTTCGACCCTTAGGAACTCGGCCTAGATGTGTCCTTGCTCATGATGCACGACCCGGTAGCAGACCTCGGAGTCGTCATACAGCGACAATCCTCGGCCTATTCCTAGAGACGTTCGACCTCCAGATGCTAGGATGGGCTTCCTTGGACGTTCGGCCCCTTGACGGTCAGCCCGTTCGATCTCTCGTTGTTGGGGCTCTGGAATTTTCCTTCTGGATGCTCGGCCCGACATGCTTAGGAAGATTAGTCCCTAGAAACCCGACCCGACTTCCTTTGGACGTTCGAACCTTAGGAACTCGGCCTAGATGTGTCTTTGCTTTTGATGCACGACCCGGTAGCAGACCTCGGAGTCGTCATACAGCGACAATCCTCGGCCTATTCCTAGAGACATTCGACCTCCAGTTGCTAGGTTGGGTCTCCTCGGGACATTTCTACCTCAACATGCTTAGCCTGGGCATGCTCGGTCTTAGGATGTGTTGCGCGCCTCACTGCCCTTGGCCTCCGGGGTGGGGATGCTCGTCCCCAGTCTTTGGCCTCTGGATGATGGATGTTCGTCCCCGGGCTTTGGCCTCCGGGTGATGGATGTTCGTCCCCGGGCTTTGGCCTCCGGGTGATGGATGTTCGTCCCCGGGCTTTGGCCTCCGGGTGATGGATGTTCGTCCCCGGGCTTTGGCCTCCGGGTGATGGATGTTCGTCCCCGGGCTTTGGCCTCCGGGTGATAAATGTTCGTCCCCGGGCTTTGGCCTCCGGGTGATGGATGTTCGTCCTCGGGCTTTGGCCTCCGGGTGATGGATGCTCGTCCCCGGGCCTAGGCCACTGGACGATAGATGATCGTCTTCGGGCCCTCGGCATCCGGGGTGAAAGATGCTCGTCCATGGCCCTTGGCTCTTAGGGTGGAAGATGTTCGTCTCCAAGCCCTTGGCCTTGGGTGGTCTTCTTTAGACGCTCGGCTTCTGGGGTGGAGGATGCTCGTCCCCGGGCCTAGGCCACTGGACGATAGATGATCGTCTTCGGGCCCTCGGCATCCGGGGTGAAAGATGCTCGTCCACGGACCTTGGCTCTTGATGGTCTTCTTTAGATTCTCGGCCTCCGGGTGGAATATGCTCGTCCCCGGGCCTAGGCCACTGGACGATAGATGATCGTCTTCGGGCCCTCGGCATCCGGGGTGAAAGATGCTCGTCCACGGCCCTTGGCTCTTGATGGTTCTCTTTAGACCCTCGGCCTCCGGGTGGAAGATGCTCATCCCCGGGCCTAGGCCACTGGACGATAGATGATCGTCTTCGGACCCTCGGCATCCGGGGTGAAAGATGCTCGTCCACGGCCCTTGGCTCTTGATGGTCTTCTTTAGATCCTCGGCCTCCGTGGAGGAGATGATCGTCCACGGCCCTTTGCTCTTGGGGTGGAAGATGTTCGTCTCCAAGCCCCTGGCTTTTGATGGTCTTCTTTAGACGCTCGGCCTCTGAGGAGGAGATGATCGTCCATGGCCCTTGGCTCTTGGGGTGGAAGATGCTCGTCTCCAAGCCCTTGACGCCAAGATTCATTTTGAGCATCATCTCTTATCGGTCGTCCCGATTATAATCTTTTATCTGCACAATGAACATGGTAACGCGGCCAAATGGCCAGACAATATGTATATGTGCACACCTTTTTTTTTAATTTTGATTTGGGGCTCCTCCGGGTGTGACCGTCGGCCTCGGGGTGCAGTGACCCTCGGCTCGTCCCTTAATCATTAAAATGTCAGTGGAAGCTCATCCCCAGGTTTCGCTCAGCCTTATTTAATTTTGGGATTTTTTTAAACCCCTATTAAATAATGGTGATGAAAATAATAGTAAGAATACTATTATTAGCAATTAAATTAATTGTACCAATTTGGGATATGAGACTTAGCTTTTAAAAAATGGGGACGTTCGGCCACTTAGGAATTTTTTGATGCCTGCTTTGATTCTTTTTTGCAATTCTTGACTTATCAGCAGCCTCCAACTACTCAGCCGTTCCTAAGTCCCAGCTCCTAAGCGTACGTACGTCCAATCCAATCCAAGCCAAGCTTATTGGAATTCCCCTACTTTGACTTGGTCATAAATAATTCCCCACATCCTTGGAAGGGCCCAATTCAAATCATTCAGCCGACGAGCGTCTTGGACAGCCTCCTCGGCTTAGGCTTTGTGTGGAAATTCCTCAATTTTGACTTTGGTTCAAATTCTCCAAAAAAAGCAATTAGGCTTTTAATTAGCCTTTTAATATATGGAGTCTCCTTTAGAAGAGCAAGGGCGGCCAAGGAGGATAGTCTTCGTTGGAAAGTTAGCCGGACTTTGTAGGATCGCGGCATACCCTCCCTGAGCTCCGCACCACCATTAATGGCGGAAATCGAGCTCTCAGCCGCCAGATCCCCTAAGGCCACGCCGGCAGAGAGGCCGGTGGGGGCTTGAGCGGGGACTGACCAGGTTGAGAAGTGACTACCGGCTCGTCGCCGGCGACGAACGGCGGCGCTGCGTTGAAGTCGGAGAACCCAGCTTAGACCGATGAAAAAACGCTGCTGTGATGGAGCTCTCCTAAGACCGAGATGACAAGACCTGTGGTAGTGTAGCGGTCTCCTTTTGGTGCAGCTAAACGCACCGGAAGGCCCACCACGGCGGCAGGGTGATGGCGGCTCCGGCGACCCCAAACCCAGATCTAAAGAATATCCAGACTTGTTTTCCCGGATTCCATCGTCTCCTTCTTCCTTGGTCCATTGGGCAGGTCCTGCTGGCAGCCAACTTCCTGTCCCAGATCCGGCTTCCCAGGACCAAAGTTCCAGCATCTTTACTTCTTTTTTTTTTAGAAAATGAAGCTAAAATCAGTACCTTTCCCGTATGAATTTTTTTTATAGAAACTCAAGAACAGTAGAACACACGAATCTTTTCGAACAAGATTCTCACAGACAGCGTCAGTGTTGAGTTTAATCTAACACGATATAGTAAATATATGTATGAACACTCAGTTTTTACGTGGAAACCCGAAAGGGAGAAAACTACGGGACTTTTTAGGCTAATGTCCAAGCCCTCTCAATTCTCATTAGGCTCTCCTCACCATTACATAGTACATTTGTTCAAGCTCCATTAATGGAGGATAAAACTAATCTAGAGAGAAGGGGAAGAAGAAGAGGATCAACCAAAAAAGAGTCCCAAAACATGTGGGAAAGCCCCATATTTATAGGGGTAAGGGAAAGGGGGGACCTAACCTAATGGGCCAAGTAAGCCCAAAATGGGCCCAAGGGGCCGAAACATGCCTAATAGGCTGAAATGGACCTTGTCATTCGGGCTCCAAGCTGGGGCGATGCCTTGTGCTCCTGAACAGTAACGGACCAGGATAATATACCTCAACAATCATATTATTATTATGTGATTTATGAGTATGGATGTTTTTATTCCTTTAGTAGAATCATCAACACTACTTTATATATATATATATAGAGTGATCTTCATGTCAGGCCGGCCTGACGGGCTTCCCCGTCCGGCCGAGCCCGTTTGGGCATCTTCCCGGTGGAATTTTTTGATGAAATTTTTTGAGCATGTTCCTCATCAAGTCTAGTTTGTCCATACCAAATTTCAGCTCAAAATTCGATCGGGAAGGCATTCAAATCATTTTTTGAAGTTGACTGCATCAAAATATACATAGAAAACTGCAGTAAACTTCAAAAAATGATTTGAATGCCTTCCCGATCGAATTTTGAGCTGAAATTTGGTATGGACAAACTAGACTTGATGGGGAACATGCTCAAAAAATTTCATAAAAAAATTCCACCGGGAAGGTGCCCAAATGGGCTCGGCCGGACGGGGAAGCCCGTCAGGCCGGCCTGACATGAAGATTTGTCTATATATATATATATATATATATATATATATATATTAATTTAGAATTCATTTAGTAACACTTAAATTTGCTATATAGTTATTGAAAATTATGAAATGCTTGCTAAAGTGGTTGAATTTTCCAAATTATATAGAAAATGACTAAAATTGTCCTCTCCAATAAGTTCTACCAATTTAGTCAGAAAAGTTACTACACTTATTTTGGTTATTGCATAATTCAACGCTATAAATCAAAAGTTACGTCTTTGATAAAAATATTGACTCATAAGGTTGATAAGCTGAAAAACGAGTTACCAAATGGGCTCTTAAATAATTTTGAGGAAGTTAGGTGACATAATTAGAAAAATCTAACTCATTTGTTACTACCTCCGTTCCCCTAACATTAGTACTCGAAGAGGTGATGTGGTTACCAAAAAAGTGAAGTTATGTGATTGATACCGAATTGATAAAGTGAAAATAAAATAAAAATGATTTTAAATCACATAAACATTACCAAATTTGTACGTTTCTTAGTCGTCTCTATTTAGATTTATCAGACTAATCAAATACAACAGTAGCTTTTTATGAAACACGCTAAATTGGCTATTAAAGAAAGTAAGGTTGGTGTTACATTTTTTCTGAATTTGAAGAAAAAATCTATTGTAGCTATCTTAGTGGGAGGACAAAAAGAAAGAAAGATAAGACTATCTTAACAGGACGGAGGGGGTATTAAACCATCATTGCTAAAACTGCTACAAGTTTATTTTATATTAGTAATGTAAATATTTTGAGCTCGTTTCTCAGTTGTCTCTATTTAAATTGATCAGACTTAACAAATACTCTGGCAGCTTTTTATGAAACATGCATTTTTTTATGAAACATGCTAAATTGGCTATTAAAAAAAGTAAGATTGATGTTACTTTTTCCTGAATTTGAAGAAAAAGTCTATTGTAGCTATTTTTCGTTAAGTATATGTTTTAATAATTTGGCACATTTAGACAACTTCATCATTATTTGATAAAACTTAACAAAATCAGTCAATTCAATCAATTTCATCGTTAGTAAAAGGACTCTTCAATTCTTGAGCTACAAGTTATGAGAGTAATATATTCTAGAGGTAAAGCCGGAAGGAAAAGAGAGCGAAAAGAAAAGGAAAAAGGGTCAAATAGACTCATCTACTATTGTAAATCCATCATCTAAACCCGTCTATATCTATATCTACCTCTATATAAAAAGAGGTGGAAAAACAGGCATTTTTCCCGCCCAAATGTCTGGCCTGCAGTGGGTTGGGTTATGTAATCGGGTCGGGTTAAGTGTTTGGGTCGAGTTCAATGGGTCCAAGAAACAAGATGTCGTGTATCAGATAACATTTTACGTTAAAATGGCTAAAAAACTTTCAAGGCAGAGACTTTTGTTACTTTATGTCTAAAATTGGAGGTAGCATTAACTGCAAAGAGCACCATCACAATACCAACAGATGATGCATTAAATTTGGTTGACTTTTATTTCCATTAAAGCTCACAATTTTAAATTAGTACTCTTGAGTGGTTGGGTGTAGGGGTGGAAATAGGCCAGCCGGCCTGTCAGGGGCCTGTGGCCTGGCCTGTTAAAGGCCTGGCCTGGCCTGGCCTCTTTAGTAATCAAGCTAGGTTTGGGCTTTTCTAAAAGCCCGTTTATTTAAATAGGCCAGGCCTAGCCCAACTCTAAAGCCTTTTTACCTTAACAGGCCGGCCTATTTGTGTGTGTGTGTGTATGTATTTAGTTATATTTATATTTATTTGTATTATTTATATTTATATTGGTATACTCAACTATATCCAAATCAGTATAATAGTATTTTTAGGGAGTGTGTATTATAAATTAGAATAGACTGCTTTTTTAAACATATATAAAGTGTGTTAATAGTTTATTAAGGTAATTGAAATTCAAAGTTTTTTAAGAATCAAAGTACATAGAAATTTATAAACTACATAATAATACTCCATAATAATGTATTATTAGACATCCAAAGCAAAACTAACGTATTATTAGACTTTTTAGTGAATATTTGGGGTAATAAATTTTATACCGGATTAAAAGGATTTTTCACTTTTCATTTTGTATTTTTTTTGAAATTTTATTTTTTTCCTTAACAGGCCCGGTAAACAGGCTTCAGGCCAGGCCAGGCTTTTAAACAGATCAGGCCCAGGCCGAAAAAACAGACCTTTAACAGGTAACAGGCCAGGCTCAAGCCTATATATTCTAAAACAGGCCTGGCCTGTTTAGGCGAAAGCCTGGCCTGGCCTGGCCTGTTTCCACCCCTAGTTGGGTGTTAATCCGAAAACAGGTTGTCATTTAATGAGAATGGTTCCGCCAGTTTAAATTCCTAGGTAACATTAAATGCAAAGTTGATCTTTAGAATCCCAACACGAGAAGCAAGAATCCCGAGTTTGACTATACATCAGTTTTAGTTCTAAAGTACACCACTTTTAAGGTAGGTGAGAGTTTTACTCAAAAAAGAAATAAAATTACTGGCATGTGCATAGATATACGTAGATTGAGGAGTAGTGAATATACTCGAAAATTCAAAAGTTTAAATAGCAATGGACCTCACACTTCAGATCACATTTCAAAGCCATTGGGCCACTAACTTACCCTATAAATAGGACCCTTCTCACAGCTATTCTCCCAACACACTCCCAGCAACAAAATATTCCCAAACTTCACAGTTCAAAAAACTCCACAGTTCTGCTATGGCTGGCTCTAAGGAGGGGGAATGTGGTCTTGCATAAGTGAGATTGACCACACGAAAACCAGTTGGGCATTGCAAGTCCGAGTGGTTAGGGTGTACGAAGTGGCTGCTCACGCAAGGGGAGGAAACACTCTTGAAATGGCGTTGCATGATGAGGAGGTATATTTTGCTAGATGTGTATTTTGAATATGCAGTAGTTTTGCCAGACTTTTTTAAAACTAACTTGGCCACTTTTGTAGGGAACTCGGATCCATGCTATTGTCAAACGACCTCAATATATCTATTCATATAGATATATACATGTATACTTATATGTATAGCAGCTTGGTTTTAAAAAGAAATGTGGTTTTAAATCACAATATTACTTCAGTTATTAAATGAGTATTAAAAGAAATACACATTTTAGTTATAAAACAAAGTAACATTAAAACCAATACTAAAAACGAGTGTTTTAAGATGTACTGTATGTAGCATAATTTAAAAATCAGATTTAGTTTTTACCAATATTGTTTAAAAATGATCCAAACTATTACTGAATAGATATTCACATAGGTCTATAGATGTTTGAATATATGTATGACACACATAGGTATATCAATTGTAACAACAGATTAGAGATGTATCAAAAATAGTTTAATAATAGGGTTTTAAATAGGTACTACATGACATATTAAAAAATAGAATCACTTGGGAATATATTCATTTGAGTTTTAAGATGTATGAAGCACAGTTTTAAAATCAGATTTAGTTTGAAAAACGATTTAAGCTGTTACAAAAATAAGTAGTCACATAGGTATATAGACGTTAGAATATACGAATGACACGTAGGTATATTAGTGTTGCTTTATAAAAATAGTTTAATCATAAGGTTTTATTTCAAATCAGTACTACATGACATAGTAAAAAAAAACAGAATAACTTCAGAATATACTCCGTATTAATTTAGGTATTAGATTCATAGTTACGTAGTACGACATACAACTATGCCTCTTGATAGGATAGTAGTGTGCTGTGAATGTAAATACAGGCCCAACATCAGATTGTAAAAAATCATTGCCTAAACTTGGCATCTGAATCATATAAGGACATGTAAGCATCACATATGCATAGATCTAGACAGATCTGAAAGCAACAAATGATACATATCTTATATTCAGACATGTACGAACGAAAAAATTTATAGATTTAGACACATACGTAATACCATTTCGTGATAGGGGGTGACCGAATACTCCACTGTGAGAAATCTCAGTATACTCCTAGGTCACTACAAAATCAAAACGAAAAACTTATGTATAAACGTGTACGAATTACAGAGTCATGGATCTAAACAGATCTAAATCCCAAATAATGTTAGGTCTCAGAGATTTAGACATTCACCAACCACATATCCATAGATCTACAAAGATCTGTTCAGACTCTACGTGCAGTGAAAGTTTTTTTAAAAAATTAACTGATTTATTTTGAAAAAGCAGTGTAGAAACACCGAAAAATTGAATGTGTTAAGGGTTTTTTATATAGAAAACCAAAATACAGAAAATCAAATATATAATGAACCGGTATGTTTAAATCAAAGAAATTCAGAAATATACCGACAACTCAATCGGAATCGACAAATCGTTCGGATTGTATCAGATGGAAACACAGATCATCCATCGTTCGGATTGAATGTCGCTGTACAGAAAAGTGAGAAGTGAGAAGAGTATGACTGATGGCGTTTAGAGGGGAAGATGAATGTCACATTGAAGATGGTAGGTTTCTATCGCAGAGGGAAGTTGAGGCGTGGAAGCTAAGGGTCTGGTGGATAATAGGTGGTATGCTGCATAATTGGGTGGAACGCAGGTATTGGGGTATTTATATTTATGGTTGAAGATAATGGGTTGGGCTGGGTACGTTTAATTGGGCCGGGTAGGATTAGGGCTGGCTGAAAGGTTTTATTTTAATGGGATTATAAGCTGGATCCGAAATAGCTATTTGGATCTGAAATTTCAATGGTTTGGTTAGATTTAATTGGGCCATAAAAATATTTCAATGTGATTGAATAAATACTTTTGTTTTTATAGTATTAAAATAGATCTAAAAACATTTTTTTATGTAATTGAAGTCAACATAAAAATTTGTTGGTCTGCAAACATAGGCACCATCATCATTTCAAACTATTATAGTATATGATATTTAAAAATTTCTACTTAGTTCGTTCATAAATAATTTGTCATATCATGCATTTTTTTACCCATGTTGGACTGTTATTAAAGAAATCTATCTTTGACCCAACGTAGGCAATTTCCAGTGATGACTTCTTATACGATGACAATAAATAAGAGTCAAGGCCAATCTTTGACCCATGTTGGACTCTTATTAAACAAACATGTCTTTACGCATGGTCAATTGTATGTGGCAGTATCTAGAGTGACAAACCGTAAGGATTTGAGGATATTGATTTGCGGTGAAGATGGGAAAAGCACTGACCGTACTACAAATGTTGTTTACAAAGAAGACTTTTGAAATGTTTAGTCTTTGTATGTCTCATTGTATGCTTCAAATGTTTACAAACAAGTGTTTCGAAATTTATTGTGTGTTTCGTATTTTTCTCTTATCCTAATATATAAATCGTACCTATCATTAGTAATAACTATAGTTTTCTCTATAATTACTGAATATTGTTCATATATATTACATTACATGCGTATAAAAAAATATCATCTACACATGCACTAATAACGTTAATAAATAAGATTATATAACTATTCGATAATATGGACCGCGCATCGCGCGGGTGAAAATCTAGTTATATATAAAAACGCAATAGTCCACAACCATTTAGGCGGGAAGTGTCCGCAGTTACTGACCCCGAGTCTGTACTCTGTTTAATAGTTTGATAATTAATTAAAAAGATTAATTCATTAATTGTCAAGAAATGTCTTTTGGGATTCTCAATAGTGTATATGGAATACCGATGCTATCACGGAGTAATTAAGTAGCGCATGGGATGTTGTTGTTTGGACTTCTCCAGAATTCTTAATTCCAATTGTTGTCCTATATAATATTGTTGATGATGTTGGATCACGGAACATAAGATATAGCACTGTTGTGATTTTCATTTTCTTATTTAATACGGAGTATTTGTTTGCTCGATTTATTGGATTGATAAATAATCCGTGAGATTTCCTTAGATCTCGATCTTCCCTAACGAATTCCTAAGTCGGTTGAGCAATTAACTTCCCCATGGGAGAGAGATCATAATCTACGGTTTGGACTTCTCCAGAAATTGTGATCCCAAATGGTTGTGTTAGATAAGGTTGAGGGCTTTGGAGGGCAGAATGCACCAAGTAGCTTTGTTCTGATCTTCTTTCTGACTTCCAAGTATCGCGGTACTGTAATTTACCTTGAGTTGGATTTTGCTTTTATCTTGACTTCTTTAATTGATTTTGATTTTATCTTGAGTTTTTTAAATAATAATTTCCCTGATTTGAGATTGTTTCAAGAACTCTAAAGTGTTCGCAGACCTTACACAGGAGTGGGAGGATCTACTAAGGGATGTGCTAAATGATGATCATAATTAATGATTAAGGATTTAAGGAGATGCATAACCTCCGCAATTAGAAGCAAGATGCTATCAACGAAGTGTGGAAGTTAGAGGATAAGATGGTTGAGAACCGTAAAGAAAAAACAAATTTTGATTAATAAATTGAGCAGCAGATGATTAAATTCAAGACTGACATTACGAAGTTGTTGAAACTATGAGATTATTTCAATAATCAGCTGCTAAATGTTAGTAGTTGCTAAATTTTGTAAAACATTAATGGGTTAGCCTATATCGGAATTATCTCAAATCAGTAAAGCATATAAACATATTTAAATTTGGTATTGGGGTAATGAAGTGTCTTTGATCTTTTGCATATATCCGAATTTACTCAAGGTTAATACAATCAATCTAGAATTTATTGGGTTTTCAGGATTTCTATAAATATGTTTATATGCTTATACATGTCATTTAAATTCCTATATAAATAATTCTTTATATAATTACAGAGTTGTTTATCTATAACCTCGTTTGGTAGTTTGCACGTTAAATCTTTGCATGCGAAGTGATCACATGCAAAGTATAGGGAAACAATCATTTTGCATGTAAAATAGATTACATTGTTTGGCTAGATGTGTTATTTATTTTTAAATTACATGCAAAGTTGTTGCAGTGCTTCATAAAAGGCATGCAAAGTATTTTACCACCTTCCCCCCACGTAAAATACTTTACATGGTACAGTGTGAAATGTTTTAAAAAAGTGCCCTACAGTTTACATTAAATAATCAAACCAAACAGTGTAAACATTTTACGTCCTTACATTTTGCATGCAAAGTAATTACTTTACATGCTACCAAACACCCCCATAGGGTCGTTTGTTTGCATTGTTTTGAGAAGGCAACCGGAAATTTCAGGTTTTGGGAGATTGGGACTTTATTTGAATGTGCTCTAGCAGTGCATTGCAGGTGTTAGGAGTGTATTTTTCCAGTTTTCCATCTTATAAACTTTGTAGTAGTTTGGGCCACCGGATGCTGCTTTGATTGTTACTTTCTAAAATGTATTTAATTTGATTTGATTTAATATATTACTCCCTCCGTTCCGTTTTTAACTTCTTACTTTGGCTCTCAGACTTTTTAAAGAATTAAATTTGACTTTACTGTTTAGACACTGTTTTGACACTGTTCGACATTGTTTTGCACTGTTTGACACTGTTTTGATGTAGGAAAACTTTCCATTTAGGGAAATGAGAAGATGATTTTGGGACGTCCCAAAAAGGAAAACAGGAAGTTAATAGCCGGACGAGAGGAGTATGTAATAAGCGAGTGCTTGCAATACCCTTTATTTTTACGACGTGTTTGCAATACCTTTAAAAAAGTATTTCTTGACTTTTGGCTTAAAAAGTTAAAATTAATGTTTTCAAGTGATAATTTTTACTTAAAACATCGTTTCTCTATTTTTGTGTGAAAAGTGATTCTTACTTTTTCTATTACACAAAATGCTTATTTTATCAAACACTATCAACTTGTAGTTTTCAATTTTTTTCTAACACTATCAACTTTTACTACTAATCACTTTTTTTTTTCAAAATCACTTCAAAAAGTGCTTTTTTAAGCAAAGTATTTGCAAACACTCCTTAATTATCCCAATAATTTGATTCTAAAATGTCTTATCCCTTCAACGCAATTTGTTGAAACATTGCTGGGCGAGGGTTTATCCAGATAGCAGGTCCCCAGTCATCGAGTTTTCGGGCGGGTTTGAAGCGGGTCGATGAGTTTGGTCGGGTTTTAGTTAATTTACGAATTAACTTATATTCAGCCGGAATTCCAAGTAGTTGCCGATTTCTCAGTCCACCTACTTGGACCGGTTCGAGTCTGATACATAGTGTTTTTATACTCAAATGTAAGTAAGAAATAAATATTTAGATGCTATTGATAGAATAATTAACTATTTATGATAACTCTTATATTTTGAATAAAACAACACAGAGTACTAACATGTGTATGCATTAAATTGTCATGGTTGTATAAGTTAAATTAACGAGTTCATGTTTCATTATTGAATTAACTTAATTTTTATTTATTAAAGTTACTTTAAATTTTAAAATAATTTGGGCAGTACATTCAAAGAGTTGAATGATATATATCTCGTGCATCGCACGGGTACTATACTAGTCTACTAAAAAAAGCATCATATAAACCTATCTACTCTAACAAAATGATCAAATGGCCCAATTTACCTGAAGTTCACCTTCTCTAGCCGGTTCCTTGCTAATTATACGGATTAAATATTTTCTTTAAATTTTCTTTTTTATTTTTTCTTTCTTTGTTGTGCTTTAGCCATTCACATCCCTATTATCTTCTTCCCACTGCAATTTTATACGAAGCAAAGATTGAGACTATTATATGGGTGTTTCCGTGTATTTGTCCCCCAAAACTTAACACTTTAATTAATTGTTTTATTTAAAAAAAATTGATATTATCGCCCAATCGGTAGTCTTCCTCACTGATTTTGTTTAGGACAGAAACATGGAGACTGAAGGTCAACAACCTATTAATGGGGCGTGGCAGAGTGATGAAGGTGAATGGGGTCCGATCAATAATCTCTGCGTGAAGGTACGGAGTGATTCCAATGGAGAGTAGAGATCTTCTTCCTCCATTCTTTGGCGACCCTGCACACACGGCGGTCCTGCACCACAGCGAGAAGAGAAGCCACCACTCCCATGTGGACAAATCTGAAGGATGGCGTCGTTGGATTGCTCTCACGTCTTCGATTCTAGATTGAAGTTGAGTAATAGCTTTGGGCCTTCAGAGCTTTGGAGCTCCTCACACCAACGACCTGAAGACATTTAGTTTGTGGGAGGGAGCTGGACGAAGAAGATAGGCAAAGCAAAAAGATTTTGAAAACGTAAATGAAAAAAGGAAAAAGTGAATGTAAAATATCAAAAATAGTAATTGACCGGCTAAAGAAGGTGAACTTCAGGTAAATTGGGTCATTTCATTGTTTTTTTTTTTGGAATAGATAGGTTTATGTGGTACTTTTTTTTGTAGATGGGTTCAGATGATGGATTTACAATAGTAGATGGGTCTATTTAACCCTTTTTCCAAAAGAAAATAAAGGAGATGGACTCTTCTACAAGCATGCATGAGAAGGCCGGGTATACTTCTTGCTTTCTATCTTTTCCCACTACATTTAAAATGTTTTGTTAAAAAATAATAAAACATTAGAATATCTTATATATTATAATGTTTTGTTAAAAAATAACCGCTTCTCATCTTAGAATGTCCCGATTTTGTTCCTAAGCACGAGTGCTTTAACGATATCAACTATCTTGAATGAACCATTAATAATACATATATTGAAAACGATTTCTAATAATATCAACTATTTGAATAAAAACCCGAAATAATTTGAAGAAACTTTTAGACAAGAAATTCAATCATTTAAAACATTAAACACTTATATCAAACCATCAAAAAATTGACAGTTGGCAATATGGTCACTTATTTAATATTTTGACACTACTTTTTGATGAATTAAATGATTGAATTTTTAGTTAAGACTTGATCTATGTCACATTGTAATATATTCGCATAGTTGATATTATTAATAGTTATTTTCAATGTACATATTATTTTTATTGTGTCACTCATTCGTATCTCGTATATTACCATGTGAAGGTATTATATTAGATCGAATATGAGCCAACAATATTTAATTATTTAGATATATACTAGATATTTATTACAGTGGTAGTGATACTTTTTTTTAATGAAATGAGGAAAATGGATGCTAGCCTGTATGTACATTTGCATTTTTATTTTTGGGCCCTCTTTCATGATGATGAAATAATAAATACTCAATTCTTAAGTTGATATGTTAATGTGTTAAATACTAAAAGTTGTCATATCGAATCCACATTTAATGTACATATTTTCAAAAGAAAATGATTGGGCATTTTATTCAATTGCGCAATGCGCATGTAGAAAACTAGTATAATTAATAAAAGCGAAAATGTGTAATAAGAAAAAGGTGCTCCAGGGAATACTGTCTTCGGTGGTGTTTTAGTCATAAAGAAGCCGAATTCCTAATCTTTAACGATGATTAAAAATCATATTGAAGAAATTAAAACTCATCCTTATTACGCTAGACTGAACATTAATGATGCTTTCAAAGATGGGAAAAGCATAGGTGGGCCCATCCAGATGATAGAGGGAATTTGTTGGTGACTAGAGATGTCAAACGGGTCAACCCGATCCAACCGGCCAACCCGACCCGACCCGTGACGGGTTATGCTTTATGCGGGTTGGGTCGGGCCAACCCGTTTAGTGACGGGCCAGAATTTCTACAACCCTAACCCGACCCACCTAACCCGTGGGTTAAACGAGTTGGCCCGCGGGCCAATGCATAAAATATATGACAAAAGATTGTTTCAAAAATAATTATCTTGGAGTGTATATTTATATTAGTAAGTCCTAGTAGTAATAAGGGAAATATAGGAAATCAAAATACTAAGAACTCGATACTTGTTAAGTTTAATTAAAAATATTAAATACCAGTTATACGAAAATTTGAAAACTATAAGAGGGGATGTAACAAAAATACTCATACTCATTGTATAAAAGTAAACATATATTTAAATCTTTTGATTGATTATTTGTAAATCATGACTAGTAACTGCTAAATATTGTATCAAACATCACATAAAATATACTCCGTATGTTTCAACATTTTATTTGAACATTTATTATAGAAATAATAATTAATTTTGCAATTGTTGTATTAACTATATGTTTGTATATTGGCCCGCGGGCCAACCCGTTGGGCCAACCCACTTAAACCCGTGAACTACTGAACTATATAATTGGTTGGACCGTTGGAAATTCACAACCCTAACCTACTAATGAATGGGTTTAAACGGGTCAGCCTGCGGGTTTCGGCCTATTTTGACGGCTCTATTGGTGACTTGGTGCTATATCCTTTCCAATTAAAGCAAGCACGGTTGTAGAAGCCGAGCTTCAAGCGGTTTACATTGCTCTAAATTGGTGATCAAAGCATTTAGGATTTCCAGCTTGAAACTGATTCTAAGATGGTAATCAAAGCTTTGAAAGGTGTTCAAAGACCGCCTTTCCATCTGCTACATGCGATTGATCAGGTTTGGAACATATGTGAGGAATTGTCGGTTAAGGCTTATCTATAGGGAAATCAATTCAGCAGCTTATGCTTTTGCCCAGGATGGCATACATCTGAGTCAACTTAAATTTTTTAACAACAAGCTCATTATTCCAAAAAAAACAAGCTCATTCTTTCCAACTCCATTTCCAGTCTCATTGAATTGGACTCTCTGGATTCCCTGTATTCACCAAGTTCTCATAAATCTATACTTTTGTTTGGGTAAGATATAGTCCCCTCAAACTTTTTCTTTTACTTAATTACTTAGTATTTTTTGTATTTTGAGAAGGTATGCCTTCTCTGGTGGAATATTAGTCTAGCCCCCCCCGCACCTTCTGTACCTTTTTTATTTTTAATAAAATACGGTAAATGTTTCTTGACATTTACCCCACCAATGGATGGTGCGCCTACCTGTATTAAAAAAAGAGATAAGTTGTATTTATATTACAGACTCCATCAAATTTATTAGATAAAAGTGAAAAATACTTGGAACAATGAAATGAAATAAGAAAAAGGTGCTCCAATAAAATAAAAAAGTTGTTTGGAAACAAAATAAATTATACTACGTAGATAGCAATATATCTGAAATCCTATGTGGAGTTTCCCGGCATAGTTCAAACTAGGGCTGCACAAGAATAACCTGAACCTGCATAACCTGCCTGACCCAACCCTATCCGACCCTATTTAATCGGGTATTTTATTTTTAAAAATATTTATGGGTTAAATATGTTTGAACTCGCACCTAATGGGTAGGGTTGCCGAATTAAAATCTCAAACCCGATAGTACCCGACCTGGCCGAAGTTCATTTTACTATTATTATTTCTACAACGTTTTCTTGGATAATTTCAATTTACTAAACATTTATCATTTTGACTAGGTGATTATTATATATTTATGTTTTCTACTAAATGAACTTCCTTTACAGAAGGATGTTTTAATACTATTACCTAATGTTTTTGCTTATAAAAGATACGAGTACTTGTGTTTGTTTGTGTGTTTTAGAAACAAATTAATCGAGTTTTAAATTGGTTACATTAATTTTCCGCATGAAAGATGCAACCCGAAATGATTATTTTCCCCAATACCCGACCTTACCCGACCCGTTCATGCATGGTTTACCAACCTATTTTGCGTGCCGCGGGTTGGTTAATAGCCAACCTGAACAAATCGGGTAGGCCCAAAAAAATATAGCAAACCCGACCCAACCCGCCCGATGTGCAGCCCTAGTTCAAACTATTTTATTGTTAATATAATTTAAATTTATTAAATAAAAGTGAATAATACTTCGAACAATGAAATGAAATAAGAAAAAGGTGCTCCAATAAAACCAAAAAGTTGTTTTTTGGAAGAAAAAAATAAATTATAGGTAGCATTCTGAATCTTGTGTGGAATTTCCTGACATAGTTCAAATTATTTTATTGGTAATATAATAATTTGAAGTATATCAGACTATAGAGAAACACCACACAAGAATCTTAATACAACTTTAATTTATCCAGGTAACCACAATCTTGGTCATGCGGGTCTATAGGGGATATGTACAGTGTTTTGAAACAAGGAATGTGTCGGTGTGGTATAAAGAGAGAGCCGGCTCCATTTGGAAGACAAAAACGTACGGGAACCATTCTGCTGTGCAGCGCAAAAGTCCTTTTCCTCAAAACATTCATATCAGAGAAACACCTCCCTCGAAGAACCTCCAGCCTCATCGTCCTGTATCTCGTATCTGGTTTTATTTCCGACAGGGCTATATATGAGGGCGTGCAAGAAGTGGTACCGCACAAGGGCTCTCGATTCAGAAGGCCCAAAATTTTAAATATAGTGTATATAATATACAAAATCCTTTTTTATTTGATCAAAGATTCCTGTTTTAGGGCCTCGAACTCGAAAAAAAATGTCAAATAAGGTCATATTTCGGATGCTCTGTCTGGCCGACGCCATTTGGGGCGGTTCCTGATGGAATTTTTTGATAAAATTTTTTGAACATCTTCCTCATTAAGTCTAGTTTACCCATACCAAATTTCAGCTAAAAACTCAACCGGGAAGGTAGTCAAATGAGTTTTTGAAGATAACTGTAAAGTTAAACAACGCCGTACATTTCGGAAAATTATTTGACTACCTTCCCGGTTGAATTTTTAGCTGAAATTTGGTATGGGTAAACTAGACTTAATGAGGAAGATGCTCAAAAAATTTCAACAAAAAATTCCATCGGGAACCGCCCCAAATGGCGTCGGCCAGACAGAGCATCCGAAATATGACCTTATTTGACATTTTTTTTCGAGTTCGAGCCCCTATTTGACCCTTATCCCTACTTATATTTATATGTGATTAAAATGCAATTGTTAATTATAAATGTGCAACTTCTTTATTACATAAGGTCGGGATAAGGCCTAGTTATAGTAATTAGTACAAATTCCTTGTACAGTTTGGACGAGTTTGATTTTAAGGGACAGAGAGAGCAGTTTTTCCGTAATATCCTACTCTATATTTTTTAGTTCATGATTTTAATTCATTTCATTTCGGTTTAAGTTTTTTTTTTTACCGATTTTGCTTGTTCATGTTCGAAATATGATTATATCTCAATGTCACGTTTGATTGTAGTCTTTTTTAGGTTATTTTTTAAAGGTTGCTTTTTATATTATACGTAGTATTTATTGAAAATAATAATCCGAACTATTGTCGGTCCACTAACAATAATCCCAACTATTGGTTATTTTTGTATAATCCCAACTATATGGACCGTCCGCCAATAATGGTCCATGACTAGATAACAAGTGAATTTCAAATAGAAATTAAGTGTAAAAATTAAAAATTATGATTATTTATAGGGATTACTCGTTGTATCTCTTCTCATCCACTTTGGAAACTATAGAAATTTATTTATAGCAGGTCACGGTCGGACCATTATTGGCGGAAGGTCCATAAAATTGGGATTATTCTGAAATAATCGATAGTTGAGATTATTATGAGTGGACCGACAATAGTTGGGATTATTAAGTGATGGGAAATTACCTACGATAGAACTAAAACTCATTGAGTTTCTCTAAATATGACTAACTTAGTTTTTTTATATTTGTATGACTGAAAATCCAAAAATAAAAGAAATTCACGTTCTTATTTTAATATTGAATGCCGAAAATACCCTTATTTAAAATATGTGTATTTTTCACTAATTCCGACCAATTAAAATTACTACACTTTGTAGTGCAGTCACTGCACAAAATTACTGCACGACATTACTGCACGACATTATTGCACATTCGGTAACAATCATTGCACTTCCGTCAAAATTAATTCTCTTCTCATTCACTTCAGAAATTTATTTATAAGTTTTGTTTTTATTTTTTTAGATCTTAAATTTTTATTATTTTAAGTCTAATTATATTTTTTAAGTATATTGCATTTCATGGCGGGATTACTGCTCTATGTTATTGCGTCATAATTATTGCATAACAAACTTCCTCCATACACTCAATTCACTGTCATGTACAATATTATTTATTGCCATATTTATTTCCATACTCAATACTTATTGGCATGTTCACTGGTAATGTTCAATATCCATATTAATGGAAAAATATGTCAAGAACAACAATTCATCCTCCAAAATTCACAAATTCACATACGAGCATTTAGCAAATCATTTTCTTTTATAATTTTCAAAAATACCTCAATAATAATATGAGGCTTTTTTCATCAAAAAAAAAACGAGGCTTATCAAACACTACCCAATTCAAAGCCTTGCACCTGAAATCAGCGGATAAAAAAAGAAAACGACAGACGCAGGTCCAGAAATACCATCGTCTTCTTCGAGTGGATAATACAACAAACTAGTTATCACGCAGATTGAAGTGAAGCTCATCGATTCCGTTGGCGGACATCGTGCGTGCATGAGGTCTGCTCCAGGCGATGAAGGCTTTGCTTCCAGATTGGCGTTGATGATTCTTCCGGGCTCCTTCAGGCGACGTAGCTCCTGATCGGTTGCTTCCAGATCTACGAAAATTTTCTTGGGCTAGCACAGGTCCGCTACAATTAGGGTATTAGGATTTTATAATAACAATCTAAGGACATATTAGTCCATCAAAAATGTTTATTTATTTAATTATTAATATATTAATTAATTAGTACGAATTTTGGTATTATTTTGGTAAAAAAAGTAATAAGGTCATAGTCGCGGTAATTTCCCTTAAGAGATAATTATCCTTGTTATGACTAAAACTGGGAAATTACCTACGATAGAACTAAAGGGATTTGCACCAGGTCTAATCTATTGAGCCCGCCCTGATTTTCGAATTCCGATGCTATCCAGTGTTTTAGGATTATCAAAAAGCAAAAATTGCTTATTCCGCTTCAAGCTTCTTCTCGGTCAATTGATCATTTGATGATAGCGGCTCCATTGTTAGGTTAGGGTTTATATAAGAAGCTATTAGAAGCAGGGTGTCCTTCAAGTGTGTATTGTTTTAACATGTTGAAGCATAAATTCTGCAGGGAAGGCCAAATGAGGGAAGCTAAATTGGTTTCCTATGAAATTAGGAAGTGGGGTATATTACCTGCAGCTGTTAGCTTCCACACTTTGATCAATGGATATTGTACATTAGGTGATTTAGATGAAGGGTTTAGGTTAAGGAATGTAATGGAGAAGACTGGAGTAGCTCCAGATGTTTATACTTGACAGTGTTTTTATCAATGCCCATTGCAAGAAGTGTTTAATGTCTGCTGCAGGCGAACTGTTCCATAAAATGTCTGCGAGAGCTTTACTCCCTAACAAGGTGATCTTCACAACGTTGATTAAAGGGCACCATAAAGACTTGGCCATAGATATCTATCAATGTATGCTGAGAAACCACATTTGGCCTGATCTGAAATCTGATCACTTGAAACACACTACTTGATGGGCTTTCGAAGAGCAGGAACCTAATAGACGCTGCGTATGAGGTCCAAAAAGAAATGACTGAAAACAGGATAATGCTCGACAATGTAAGTATGCAACATATACTTCCTTAACCAGAGGTCTGTGCTGAAAATGGAAGGTAGTAGATGTAGAGTGAATGTTAAGAGAAATGTTGAGTGTAGGTTTAAAACCTGATGGTCAAACTTACACTATGGACTGGTCATTGATGGCTTTTGCAAGGTCAGATGAAAAATCAGAGATGCTATTGCATGCTACCTGATGACATTACTTATAACATTCTCTCGGAGGGACATTGGAGGAAGCGCAAGAAGTCTGCGGATGGTAGTGGTATGATTCTACGACGTGAAATACTTCTGGAAGGACATTTGAGAAATAACATGAAGTATGGGGATGGTAGTTATATGATTCTACGATGTGAAATGGGGCTTGTTCTTGACTATGCTTCTTATTGTTCCCTAACTAATGGTTGGCTCTAATGTTATGAAAAAAAATGTTAAGACAAGTTGACCCTGATGGCGTTACTTAACAATTTTCAATACTCAATAGCCTGTAGAAGCAATGCTCACCATTGATGATGTACTTACCTTAAACCTGAAGATTGGCTTTTACGGCCTTTGCTCCAGTTGCATAGTTGTTTTTTTTACCAATGATAGCACTGGTTTGTTTCTAGAGACTTGATTAATTTTTTGTATTTGTTTTTCATGCTTAGTGAGGAACACTTTTTAAACTGAAACTAAGTACGAAATTGCCTATAATAGTTGTGAAAGACTATATTACGAACATAACTAATACATTTCATTTTAGGAATGAAATCAAAGAGTAGAAGTAGGTAAATTCTCTATTTTAGAAATGAACGAGTTTTGAGAAACAATATTGGGGAAAATGCATTATGTTTTGATCGTATTTAAGGAATTCTCTCAAGTAAATATGATCAAACTAGGCTATTATAGTTCCCTTGGGTGAAACTTTGACTAGTCTTTAACAAATGAGAAAAGTTAAAAGAAGTTATAATAATAAATGTAAAAATAAGAAAAACTGATAAGAACCAAAAGTTATTCAAATAAAACAAAACTACAAAAAATAAATGTAATATAAAAGATTTTTTATAAAAAAAAAACTAAACAATAAAAAAACTATTCCCTTTATTCCAAAATACTTGTCCCATACGGAGTATTCATTTTCGATTTGTTCCGAAAAAAGTAAAAACTGCTCTCATTTTTTAGAAAAGGTTATACATACTCAAAAAGCATTTAAAATTCACTTTTATAAAGTACACCGACTCCTATACTACCAGAAGATCTAACCTTTTTTATATCCTTACACGCTTTACTAAACTAGATTAAATTCCTTTTGCACAGATATATTATGTATTAGTGTATTACCATTAGAATGATTATATTTTATATATTTGGACATGGAATATGAATTTTGGAAAGGAGGGAAACTTCACCTCATCTAAGATTTCATTCTTCATAGCAAATACATCCCAAGTGATCCTTCTTATCATGTAGTCTTTGCTCCCATATCGAGGAAGTGAGATTGCAATCAATCAGATTTTTCACTCATACGTCGCACAAGATGAGTTTTCTAATAATTGAATTATCAATTATTAATATATACTTAATTACATATGCATTTACCATTTCATTTCATAGAAACCGCTTTGATAAATGTACACGTAGTATATGACAAATATCAATCAATACATCTGTTGAGGTTAATCCAACACGATATAGTAAATATATGTATGAACACTCAGTTTTTATGTGGAAACCCGAAAGGAAGAAAACCACGGGACTTTTTAGGCTAATGTCCAAGCCCTCTCTTTCTCATTAGGACTCTCCTCACCATTACATAGTACATTTTGAGCTCCCATTAATGGAGTCTTGTAAGCTATTCTAGAGAGAGTAAATAAGTTGGGGAAGAAGGGAAAAGATCCTTTACATGGAGGGAAAACCTCCTATAAATAGGGAAAGGGGTGAGGGAAGTACTCCACCCTAATGGGCCAAACGGGCCGAAATGGACCTAGCTGCTCGGGCTCCGTACTGGATAATGTCTTGGGCTCCTGAACAGTAATAGGTCGGGATAATATATCCCAACACAAGTCCCCCAGTTTCTTGAGTAGTGAGTGCGCGAATCTGCTCGAGAAAGTATATTCTTGCCTGCGCTCTGCCCCTGTCTAGCTGAAACCTGTGTCTTCGAATAATCATAATATATGAGTGGATGTCTGCACTCCTGAACGTAATCTGCCGGTGAGGCACCCCTCTTCCCGACGGGGTCGGGCGAAGGGTGCTCCTCCATGGGCACACTCCCCCTGAATGCATCAGGCGGGAGTAAAGGACTCTGACTCGAGCTTTCCAATTGGAGAAGCTTAGAGGTCCATGCATCTATAAACCGACGTCGCGGTACTGTCAAAACATGATGCACGTGTGTATGTATGAATGTATGAGGTATGATGCATGAATGCATGAATGCATGTAATGTATGGGTGCAATGTATGAGAGAAGGAATGTGAGATGTGATAGAAAGCGGTGGCTCTCATCGATAACCCGGGCATGTCAGCGCCGGGAGGCAGACGTGCTGCATAAGACGGTCATCGCCATCCTAGAAGGAATGGGCGATCCGTCGACGAACTTGACACAATGGCACGGAGGGGCCGATCGATTGTGCTGCATAAGAGATGTTCGTCGCCATCCTGGAAGGGATGGGCGAGCCGAACATGAGCCAGACACGATGGCACAGAGGCGCTGATCGTGTTGCATACGAGACGTTCGTCGCCACCCTGGAAGGGATGGACGAGCTGAACGTGAGCTGGGTACGATGGCGCTGAGGGGCCGATCGTACTGCATAAGACGGTCGTCGCCATCCTAGAGGGAATGGGCGAGCCGAACCGTGAATCTGGACACGATGGCGCTGAGGGGCTGATCGTGATGCATAAGACGTTCGTCGCCACCCTGGAAGGGATGGACGAGCTTAACGTGAGCTGGGTACGATGGCGCTGAGGGGCCGATCGTACTGCATAAGACGGTCGTCGCCATCCTGGAGGGAATGGGCGAGCCGAACCGTGAATCTGGACACGATGGTGCTGAGGGGCCGATCGTGATGCATAAGACGTTCGTCGCCACCCTGGAAGGGATGGACGAGCTGAACGTGAGCTGGGTACGATGGCGCTGAGGGGGCCGATCGTACTGCATAAGACGGTCGTCGCCATCCTGGAGGGAATGGGCGAGCCGAACCGTGAATCTGGACACGATGGCGCTGAGGGGCCGATCGTGATGCATAAGACGTTCGTCGCCACCCTGGAAGGGATGGACGAGCTGAACGTGAGCTGGGTACGATGGCGCTGAGGGGCCGATCGTACTGCATAAGATGGTCGTCGCCATCCTGAAGGGAATGGGCGAGTCGAACTGTGAATCTGGACACGATGGCGCTGAGGGGCCGATCGTGATGCATAAGACGTTCGTCGCCACCCTGGAAGGGATGGACGAGCTGAACGTGAGCTGGGTACGATGGCGCTGAGGGGCCAATCGTACTGCATAAGACGGTCGTCGCCGTCCTGGAGGGAATGGGCGAGCCGAACCGTGAGTCTGGACACGATGGCGCTGAGGGGCCGATCGTGATGCATAAGACGTTCGTCGCCACCCTGGAAGGGATGGACGAGCTGAACGCCGAGCCGGGTACGATGGCGCTGAGGGGCCGATCGTACTGCATAAGACGGTCGTCGCCATCCTAGAGGGAATGGGCGAGCCGAACCGTGAGTCTGGACACGATGGCGTTGAGAGGCCGATCGTGCTGCATAAAGACGTTCGTCGCCATCCTGGAAGGGAATGGGCGAGCCGAACATGAGCCAGACACAATGGTGCTGAGAGGCCGATCGTGCTGCATAAAGACGTTCGTCGCCATCCTGGAAGGGAATGGGCAAGCCGAACATGAGCCAGACACGATGGTGCTGAGAGGCCGATCGTGCTGCATAAAGACGTTCGTCGCCATCCTGGAAGGGAATGGGCGAGCCGAACGTGAGCTGGGTACGATGGCGCTGAGGGGCCGATCGTACTGTATAAGACGGTCGTCGCCATCCTGGAGGGAATGGGCGAGCTGAACCGTAAATCTGGACGCGATGGTGCTGAGGGGCCGATCGTGATACAGAAAAATAGTGATGATCATCTCATGGCCCTCGGCCTGTCGGTGAGTGGTAATCGTCTCACGGCCCTCGGCCGTGCTGGTGATGTGTCAAGTCTCTCTCCTGATTGGCTGTGAGAAGCCGATCGTCTGCCAGGACTCCATCCGGGAAGGAATGGTGAGCCTGAAATAAATCTGGGCGATGTCCCTCCTACCTGATCTGGGGAGCTAATCGTCGTTCGTCTACCGTATCCGTGGTCCTATGTACGGACCGCTAAGCGGTGTACACTCGGCACGCAACAGACTCCGGTAAAGAACTGGTTCTTCGTGTCTGATCCATGGAGCTGGTCTTCGTTCGTCTACCGTATCCGTGGTCCTATGTATGGACCGCTAAGCGGTGTACACTCGGCACGCAGCAGACTCCGGTAAAGAACCGGTTCTTCGTGTCTGATCCATGGAGCTGGTCTTCGTTCGTCTACTGTATCCGTGGTCCTATGTATGGACCGCTAAGCGGTGTACACTCGGCACGCAACAGACTCCGGTAAAGAACTGGTCCTCCGTGTCTGATCCATGGAGCTGGTCTTCGTTCGTCTACCGTATCCGTGGTCCTATGTATGGACCGCTAAGCGGTGTACACTCGGCACGCAACAGACTCCGGTAAAGAACTGGTCCTCCGTGTCTGATCCATGGAGCTGGTCTTCGTTCGTCTACCATATCCGTGGTCCTATGTATGGACCGCTAAGCGGTGTACACTCGGCACGCAACAGACTCCGGTAAAGAACTGGTCCTCCGTGTCTGATCCATGGAGCTGGTCTTCGTTCTTCCCAAGTCTCGTGAGTTACTGGTCTCCTGGTTTCGCAGGAGACGTTCGTCATCCCAACTATGAGAAGAAACAGGTTTATCCACGTCGGGATTCCCTATCTCTGTTCGTCCCCGGTCGTGAGTTACTAGTCTTCTGGCTTCGCAGAAGACGTTCATCATCCGTCCATAAGGGGGAGGAACCGGTACACCCTGTCAGGGTTCCCGTTTCTTCGTTCGTCCCTGTCGTGATCCTACTAACCTTCTTCCCTCGAAGAAGACGTTCGGTCATTCACCGATCGCAAGGAGGAACTGGTTTACCCTATCGCGGGTTCCCTGCTTCGTCGCCCCACGCTCGTGGCCCTACTAGCCCTCTGCTTCAGCAGAAGGTGTTCGTCGATCCACGGGTCATGGGAGGAACTGGTTTATCTTGCCGAGGTTCCCTTTGGTTCGTCTAGCCCCCCCCCCCCCCCCCCACGTTCCTACTGGCCTCCGCGTCGGGAGACGTTCGTCATACGCGGCGAAGGAAGATCTGGCATACCTCGTCAAGACTCCCTCTCTCATAGGATCTCGTCTCCCCTTCTCCCCATCTTTTTTTTTTGAGGGAGGAAAATACGTTCATCGGTTCTAAGAATGACCACAAGTGATGTCACACATAATGGTAGTGGGATATCAAAATGAATAGAATGACGAGGCGATGGAAATGCTGGTCGTCATGCGAAGGCGATGGTCACCCTCCTGAAGGGAGGGGTGAGCCCGATCGCTAACTCAAGAAGGTCGGCATTGGGAGCCGATATACAATGCTCATAATGTCGCTGAGCAGTTGGTCCTGATAATGGAGATGACAATAGTGTCCGGTCAGGCCGATATATCCGAGCAACGGCTCTCATCCAACGCGGCGCGGGGATGAAACCGGTCTTCAAAAGATAAATATGTCGGGCCGAGAGGCCGAACATAACATGATAGTGTCGGCAGTGAGAGGCCGACCTGAAAGAATCAAACAACGGTCCTCGTCCGCGAGGTGGCGGGGATGAGGCCGGTCTTCAAAAGATAAGCACGCCGAGCCGAGAGGCCGGTCGTGGTATGATGATGTCGACGATGAGAGGCCGAACATGATGTGACAGTGTCGGCAATGAGGGGCCGACCTGCAAGAATCAAGCAACGGCCCTCATCCGCGAGGAGCGGGGATGAGTCCGGTCTTCAAATGTGGAAAACACGCCGAGCCAGGAGGCTGGTCGTGATATAACGATATCGGCAATATGAGGCCGATCTGAGATAGCAAGCAACGGTCCTCATCGACGAGGAGCCAGGATGAGGCCGGTCTTCGAAAGATAATGGCACCGTACCAGGGGGTCGGTGGCCATGTAAGAGTGTCGGCCTGGGGGCCGATCAGGAAGAACCAAGCAACGGTCCTCATCCACGAGGAGCAGGGGTGAGGCCGGTCTTCAAATATGGAAAGCACGCCGAGCCGGGAGGCCGGTCGTGATATAATGGTGTCGGCAATGGGAGGCCGATCTGAAATCAAGCAACGGTCCTCATCCGCGCATCGCGGGGACGAGGCCGGTCTTCAAATATGGTGAGCATGCCGTGCCGAGGGGCCGGTCATGGTATGATGGCGTCAGACGGCCCTCGGCCGTGACGATCTCTCCTAGGCCCTCGGCCTCTGAATGACGGGTGATCGTCTCACGGTTCTCTGTCATGGCATTCGCCTCTAGACCCTCGGCCTCTAGGTGTTCTTCCTAGGCCATCGGTCTCTGGGGTGGAGATGCTCGTCCCACGGTTCTCAACCGTGGTGGTCTCCTCTAGGCCCTCGACCTCTGGGTGGAGATGCTCGTCCATCGGCTCTCAGCCGTGATGGTCTCCACTTTAGCTGGCCCTGAACGTCTTTGAGACTTAGGCCGATCGTCTTTTAATCATTTCGCTCAAGCACGTCGAGCGGCTTCAGCTGCGCAATAAGCATGGTAACGGGCCACACGGCCCGACAATATGTATACACACATAACCATCTGCATGGCTTCCTTTCTAACACCCACGATTACCGGCCTATGGGTTACCGTGACCCTCGGCCCGGCTCATCGTGCGGGGTTAATGGACGTGGTAGCTCGCGGCGGAGCCAACTAGCAGCCCACCGAACGTCACATAGAAATATTCACCGGTCTGTGAGTTTTCAACTCAGACCCAAGTTAGTCGCACTGCCCTCGGAAAAAGGAGTTTGAGCGCTTTGGTGCCTTCGGGCCCCACAGGCCGCGTTTGGCAATAGTCACTTCGCGCCTAATGGCGTAGATGGTACTAGGGTACGATCATCGCTCGAGCACTCGGTGTCGTGCGGACTAAAGCGTAACCCCCCAAATTAAAACGCGTCATCGGGGGCACTACCCTCTGGAGACGCTCAGATCGCTAATCAAGCTGATCGAGAGTGGGCCATCGGGGCCACAAGAAATTAAATATTCAATAAGATGTTGGCTGAACCAACCATCACTAGAGCTTCGCTCCACATTATTTAATTCGGGACATTTTATCCCTAATAAATAATAGGGATATAACAGGCAATAGCAATGATGTTATCCTATCAAAGGCCATTCCGGTATGCTCCGCCCACTAGTTAAAGCCGATTAGGAGCGGGCCGACGGGCCCACAACAACCAGTCATTAAATCTAAATGACGGTGAAACTAGTTATCACTAGAGCGTCGCTCGGCATTATTTAATTCGGGACATTTTAATTCCCCAATAAATAATGGTGATAAAAATACTAGCATTACTAATAGTTTAAACTATTAACAATTAAGTGTACCAATTTAAAAGTAAGAATAGGCACTTAGCTTTTTTGGAGATTAAGCAAGCTTCGGCCAGCAGGGCTTTGGAGTCAGTTATGGTCTCCCCTTGTCAACTTTGACTTTGGTCAGAATTGCTCCAAGTCGTATCCGCTGCGATCATCCATCCTTCGGAGTTCGGACGTGGCCTTCTTGGAACCAAGACCTTCGATCGGTTCGCAGCACTCCGTATCTTTTGGACAGGGAGCTGGAACATCCTCTCACTGACCCGAGGCCAAACTGTTTGGGCTGGCCACCTACCGTCGGCGGTACGGGCAGTTGCCGGGGCACAAAGGAAGCGATGGACGTCGACCCTGGTGGGGCCTGGCGGGGCTTCATATGTGTGCCTCCCTTAAGCTCCAAGCCGCCATTAATGGCGGATATTTCTTCAGGTCGCGTTAGCAACGAGGCGGAGGCTCGAACGACTATCGGCCGCGTGGACGGGTGACAAGCTATTGTCCGCCGATGACAGGCGGCAGTGAGGCGGCTCAGACGGTGGTTGGTGGAGCCAACAACGAGCCATGGGCGACTCTGCTGTCGGCGGCGTTTTTCTAGAAACGCAGCGGCGAGACCCGGGACGCGGCCGCGAGCTTCACCTGGTGCAGCTGGACGCACCGGGAAGGTCCATGGCGGCGGGAACGACGGCGGTGCGGCAGCTCCGGCGGCCTCAATCCAGATCTGCAAAAAGAGAAACCAGATTTGATCTTCCAGAATCTGTAGCTTCTTCGCTCCCCAGAATCATTTTCTCTCGAATTTTTTCTTCTTCTTTGGTGAAATCAGTCCACTTCGTATGAATTTTTGTGTAGAACACATGAATCTTTTTGGACAGATTCTCACAGACGGCGCCAGTGTTGAGTTTAATCCAACACGATATAGTAAATATATGTATGAACACTCAGTTTTTACGTGGAAACCCGAAAGGGAGAAAATCACGGGACTTTTTAGGCTAATGTCCAAGCCTTCTCTTTCTCATTAGGACTCTCCTCACCATTACACAGTACAATTTGAGCTCCCATTAATGGAGTCTTGTAAGCTAACTAAGGAGGGAGAAGAAGAAGAAGGGATCCTTTACATGGAGGCTAAGCTCCGTATTTATAGGGGAAAGAGAGAAGGGCTCTCCACCCTAATGGGCCAAACGGGCCGATGTCGGGCCTAATGGCCAAAGTGGGCCAGAATGGGCCGAAATGGACCTAGCTGCTCGGGCTCCGTACTGGATAATGTCTTGGGCTCCTGAACAGTAATAGGCCGGGATAATATATCCCAACAACATCCTTGAAATTGTTTACGGATGTACAATTAGGGATGGACCGGACCGGGCTTTTTGATTGTGGGTTAAGGCCCAGAACCGGACCGGGATTCTACCGGGTTCGGGCCAAACCGGGACCGGGTCAGGTTTAATTATTTTCTTTTTAGCTTTTCTAATTAATTCCAACCCACCCACCCCCACCCCTCAAACCCTGCCAAAACACTCAGCCCAGCCCGCCTACCACCAAAACAGTTCGCAAAAATTGGCCCGAACTGGCCGGGCCGGTCCGGTTCCAAGAGGGGCTGAGCCTGTACCCACCCCATACCCCCCCAGTTCTGGCCCAGCCCCCGTCCCGATCCCGGTTCACCGGGCCGGTCCGACCAGTACCGGTCCAACCCTATGTACAATGTATAATTTCCTATGAGACAAAAGCAAAAAAATAATTCTCAAATTTTCTTCTTTCTACAATCTCCTGCGGTCCTGCCACCAATACGAAACATTCAAAACTTAAAATTGTCCTATATTACAATTTTGTTTTTTTTTATTTCCATTTCAAAATGTCATAAATCCTCGACCAATAAAATTTATATTGTCAACATTCTTCTCTGTCTATATGTTATTAACATTGATATCATGTCTCAATTCATGGGAGCTGACATCAAACTCTTTCGAAAATAGTATTGATTCTTATTTTGAACCTCCTTGAAGAAAAACCAAGTGATCAATAAAATCTTTAAGTTGATTTTCTGATCTTGAAACACCCTTAGACCATTTCTATATTTTGTAAACACCCTAAGCCGAATAACTCATATCATTATACAAACTCATATCTAAAGTAAAAAAGAGTCATATACAATCATTCTTTCTACTCCCACCTAAAGAAACCTCTAAGTAAATATGAAAAAGTGAGCAAATTCATCCGGTATGTTTGCTTATATATTCCTTATATATAAATTATATAAGGAATATAATTTAGTATAAAATGGCTTCAAAAATAAAATGTCATAGGAATAACAATGTTTTACATTTGAACTATTTTTGAAATTGTAAAACGCATTTTGCATTATAAATATTCTCTAAAAAGACGTGGTAAGAATAAGCTTGATATGCCAATCCACTCAATGGTTGTTTCGCTCCATTCATGTAAGGGCAATGCCATGCCTACACGATAAAATAAACACAAAGGATTAAGGTAATTAAAGTTACTAATAATACTCCGTATGTCTTTAATTAAATCACCAAGAAAAAACTTCAACATGTGATCATTAGTCGTATGACATTCATCAATGGCCTTGCAAGAGTGGTTGTTTTAAGAAATTAGGATACAATAGTACTATCCTTAATAAATAATGGGATCATGTGTCATTCGAGCAAGAAAAATTGGAGTATAAATGTCACTAATTCATTGTCATCATCATATCCAAAACACCATCGGCTATTTACAAGATCCGATCACTAATTCTAGCATCTCCTCCCACTCATGTCTTAAGTCTCACACATTTCTTGTCACTTTTAAGTTTTAACACCTTAAAATGATGATGTGTTAAACTATAGTACATTAGTGGTACAATATCATGTCTCTTGTGCTTTAGAAATAAGAGACATTATTTGCCGATGATATCCGCTAAGGCTTGCTAACAGCAAAGTATAGTGAAGCACATCTCTTATACTTCAATTCAATGCTTCTAAAAAGTGTTTGGGAGACATGGACAATTCATTGCAAAAGATTAACCTTGCATGGTTGAACAGCTTTACTAACATACTTTCATGTTTGTATGTTCTTTTAAAAGTGGCATGCCACTATCAAACTTATTGAAAATAACTCTTAGACATTTTTGCATTTAAATTCGCCACTGAAGTGAATCCAAATTTCAAAAATGCTAAAAGTCAAATATAATTTACTGCGAAGAGTGAATGTCAAATAAGGAAAAAGTATCCAACCGTCCGAACAATTGATAATGGTTACAGAAAACGCTTGCGGTATACACCATGAGCAGAAAATGCTTGGGGTGATGAACTAATTCCAGAAGGATGAAGACTGAACCAAGAAGCTGAAGTTATCTCTATCAATGTTAAAAGAAAACCCTCTAAAGTTTAAAGTAATTTTAATGTTTTAACACAAGCACGCGGTGCATCAATAAGAGCAAACCTTATAACATTAAAAGAAAGTGATAACTGGAGAAATTAAAACTGACTAAACTGAAGGCGGTGATATTTAAGCACAATTATTTCCATATCATAAAAGATGCAACATTATATTATGAGATGAGATCACAAGTATAAGTGCTATAATAGTTTGAGAAGTTAAATAAACTATACATTGTTTGACAAAGCTTAAATGTTAGAGACCGGCTTGCACCTTATTTCCTCCTCTGCAGTTTCCTCCTCTTACTCTCTTCCTATGACTCCAACATCTGAAACATCCATTTAAGAAGAACTTGTTATTTACGGCCTACCAATGACCATGATAGCGCAGAAAACATATTTTAAAAGATTTAAAATATGAAATAAAGAAATATATTCCCCACAAATGTAGATAAAAAAATATAGAAACAGGAAATCATGTAACACGATGTTCAATTACATAGAAAACCGATATGAAAATAAATTTTAATTTGGTGAATCCATATCTACCCTTAATTTTTCATTTAGAAAGCTGTGACATTACAAAAATATATCTCATTAAATGAGTTGTAGAGAATGGATTAGTGCTATTCTGAGGACGGACAGATTCTTCAAGGGGGCTTGGACTCTTGGGGTTGAAGAGTCTTTGGATGCTGATTTTAGCCAGTCCATAGTGACTTCCCAACTCAGTATTTCTTTGCTTGACAAAACCAACCACGCCTGTTAGTTCAAGTGGAGTTCATGATCACTTCCAATTTTTGTGATTGAGAACATGTTTGTTTTAAGCTTAAAGTATATGATCTAGATGCCTCAATTGGGGGGTACTTGAAAATTTAGAAACCCTGGGCTAAGCTATTAGGTTTAGGCCCATTATCTTCTATTGAAATTTTATCAATAGAAGTGTCGTTATTCGACATAGACATTATGCATCCTTGATGTATAGGGGTATAAAACCAGCAGTTACAAGTACAACTTTTGCGAGGCAGTAAGCCAGTGACCAGAAATGTATACGTTGATGGTGTTAAGGTTTAGAGGGTAGCATAAGATTCGTAAATCTATGTGATTCACATTGATGGTGGTGGAAGAGAGTGGAAAATAGATTATGGCAAAAACATGATAATCCCCAAAATATCATCTTTAATCCCATTGAATAGTCTAATATTTGGACGGCAACCGAAGAGGTAGCGGTCCATTGGCTGGTTGGCTCATATTTCATGTTTAAAACTAGTTGAATTGACTCAAGAGACGACCATATGGGGGGGCAACCTTATATGTATTGAATTAGGGGTACAAATACTAAAAGCGGGAAAAGTACCTGGATAATACAATTTCTTATGGAGCTTAAAATGGCTCTTGTCAGGCAACGGAATTAGCAAAAGTTAATTTACATATTAGCAATAATAAATTCACATCAAGAGTCAAGAATGATAATATATCCACAGGTATATAAAGAGAATACCATATATTCGTCGACGGATATAGTACTATGTATCTAGTCAAGAGTCAAGAATGATAATATTACCTTGGCAGGACCAGTGGCACCAATGGTGACTAGATCTTCAAGAACCTCAACCTTATCCACAGGTAGAGAGCTATAAATCTCATCAGCATCACCAAACTCATCAAAGTCATCCTAAAATTTGACAGAAAAAAAAATCAGGATGCATATGTCACAATATATGGTATTCTCTTTATCACTTTTTATAACGACGAATTTGGATTAACCTTAGGATTTTTATTCTTACAAGTTACAACTAATACTTTGGCAGAGTATCTTATGTTTTCACCTTTTACATTTTACAGTTGTACTTCAGCAAAAAAAAAATTGAGACAGATTGTAATTAAGTTCACACTTAAAATATCACTGAAGTTACAAACTTAATGACATACAAGGAATAGTAAGAAGAATAAAAGTACTCAACTAACTTTTCAAGTTAAATTCTCTGAAGATATTTTCCATTGACGCTTAATAAGAAAAGTTTCTCAAAAAAGTTTTCATGTTCTGTTCTCTTCTGAGGGTTTTCATTGATTTTTGTTGTGCTTCAAATGCCCCGGAATTAAACACCGCATAACAGCTTATTTATGTCTTTACCAACATTCTTCAATTAACATACCATCATCATTTACTTAAAAAAACATGGCATCATTATATAAATAAAAAACACCATACTCATTTACTTAAAAAACATGCCATCAACATTATTATAGGCATAAATAGAAAACTTATTAAACACAATAATCTTAATCAACAAGTGCAACTTGATTGCATTCCACATAGTCGTCCAGGAAATTTTTGACATCTTTGATTTGCTCTGGACTCAAGATATAATGTGCCCTGTGCCAAGTAATTGATGTCTCCAAATGAGTCTGCAAAACAGATGTTTTATCAAATATGAGCGTATATAGATATTACACATAATCTCCTCAATGTTAAGATGTTTCCTTTTACCATTCTTAGTGGCTTTGATTTCCCTTTTTTAAAACTACGTCCTTCCAGTTCAGCTCCAAAGCTATCGATTTAATTTTCAAGCACACTAACCTATGCAAAGGAAAACAATTTAAATTCAAATTACTCAATAAAATCAACATAAACTCATCTTAGGTGATAAGATTACAACAAGTCAACAATAGAAAGACAAGTGTCAATGTAAAAGATAGATTATAAAGATGTTGAAAGTATGTCAGTAAATAAAAGACTTCGCAATGAATAGCATGAATTGCGCAATCAACTCTCTACCACATTGTTCAACCAATCCCTAGTCTCTGATATACCCTTTTTCTCTTGGTCCCGACAAAGTAGAAAAACACAATGGGCACTAAATTGAAGCTTAGTTTAGCATAACCGAAAAGCTTATTGCTAAGAAGGTAACATAATCAAAATCATATTTTCAAATAAAATACTGAGAATACAAATTCCAAATCTAATGCTATGTAACATGTTTAGATGTGCTTTCTCATTTAAGCAGTACAAGATTGCTCTTCAGAAAGCTCCACTCCATGACTTCCTTAAGATCTTTAAGACTCCAGAGTGCTAAACACCAATTCTAGCACCATGTAAAGACTAATTAGGAATTCATATCAATACATTTATTTAGTTTATTTACATACGTTTTTCAGATTTTAAAACAGGTTCTCAGAATCCAATTCTAATGAAATTTTAATTTTTAACAGCCCATTTGAAAACTGAAGATGTTCAAAATCCAATATTTTGGTAACCACCAGCTATAATCATGATCTAAATCAAATGACCAAGAACCATCGATTAAAAAATCTAGCCTTAACTTGCTGTTAAAAGCGTGGCTCAAATCTAGTTCTAACTCGCTGTTAATAGCATGGCTAAATATTTTGTTATTTTGCAAACCTAAGCGCAAGCATCAAATTTTTAATGAAAGATGAGTAAACCTGCAATCACTTCAAATATGAAAATAAAAGTTTCCCAACCAAACACATGGAGTTGTTAGGTAATTACATTTCATGCAACTAAAATTACATAAGTTCTATACAAATATACAATCATGTATCCAGAGCATGCCAATGCTCACCGTCTTTGGTTGATTGCCCAAGCCTAGGAAAATGCATTGGTCTGTGTTTCTTTCTCGCACATTTTAAAATTTTCCATTTCATGCTCAATGAGCTTGCGAATATCCACTAATGCCTGCTCATAAGAAGCACAAATGCAATGAATATCAAAGTAATTCCCATTAGCATGTACCTACTAAAGTATAAAGACATCACACAAATGCAAGAAGTATCGGATGATAAATACTAATAGTAACGGAAAGTATAGTTAGGTCATGCTACATTCAGGATGCTAGCATATAGACATTGTCGCTAGCATATAGACACTATCAAAGAAGGGTCATATGATCATATCATACAAAGTGCAGCAAATGATGACTCAAGCATAGCATCTTAAATTAGCTAGCTAGAAACACATAGCCAGCAAAGTAATGCAGTCTGTTGATTAAATACCGGAGCAGAACATTAAAGCCACCGTTCAGGACACAGAGCATAATCTTTATAAATAAATTATTACTTTCTCCGAATAAATAACTTAGGTTGAAAACAGCCTTGTGCAATTTTTTTCAAGTTATAAATGAAAGTTTATTGAAAAAATCTATGCCTAGTAGTGCACAAGTATGTTTAGAATTTAGGTTGGTGCTCAAAGAGTAACATCTATTTGGAACTAGAGCACACTAACTATCCTCTCAGGCCAATATGATCAACAAAACTGAGTTAGTTGCTAAGTACAAGGTGATTGACACAGATGCTGGGTAACTCAGTTTGGGTAAATGTGAAGATATCAATGAACAAAATGAAGATGGTCTTGAGTGCTAACAAAGTTTTGGAAGATGGAGATAATATTAATCATGAACCTGAAAAATATCAATCATGAACCTAATGATGATTATGAATTAAGAATTTAGGATTTAAGACTGGCATTGACTGATGGAGTCGAGACAAGTGCAACTAGGCACCTCGCCACCTAGACTATAATTGTTTTTGCTTCATCTATAATCTATATGAGTCTACAGCTTGTGTTATTAGAAATCTGTAAAACATGAGTTAGGACACTATACCTTGTAACTAGCGAGTCTGTCTGCAGATAATGAATTATTTTTATCAGGATAAAGAGCTTCCCTCAAACTTTCATCAACCATTCATGGAGCTCATTAGTAGATCAACATCATTCACACAGCGTTATCCCACTCTCAAACGCAGGCTCCAAACCAGTTTGCTTCATCATTGAACTAAGTTCATCCAACCTCTCATAAATGATATCACAGCAGGGATGTGCCCTGTCAGCAATATAAAAGCAATGAGTTTCTTTCTTGATGTCAATCCAACTGCATCCAGGCAATTTCTTCATTCCTCTCTCCTTCATCAACCTTCTAACTTCTGAAACAACATCCCATCTCTGGGAAGAAGCATATAAGTTCGAAAGGGAAACATAATTGGATGGATTCTCTGGTTCCATCTGAACAAGAAACTTGTACGACAACTCACGCATCTTGTCGTTCCCATGTAGTGTGGATGCGTTCAAGAGGGCCCCCCAGATGCTCGGCCCAGGTCCCACAGGCATAGAGGTGATAAACTCAAGTGCACGGTCCAGCTGTCCAGACCGCCCGAAGAGGTCAACCATGCATGAACACATTTCTACTGATGGTTTAACACCATAATCATTTAAGGCAGAGTCAAATATCTTGATGCCTTCATCCACCAATCCTGATCTTGCACAAGCTGAAAGAGCGCCGACAGCTGTGATCATATCCGGCTTGATCCCAGTATTAAGCATCTGATTAAACATAGATATTGCTTCATGGCCTTTCCCGTGTAGCCCATATCCCAGAATCATTGAACTCCAAGATATCCTATCCTTGATAGTTGACCCATGCTCAAAAGCAAGTCTTGCACTTTTGAAGCTTCCGGTTCTGAAATACATATCGACTAAAGCATTTGAGAAAGACACTTCTTTGTTCAAATTTTGCCTAATGGCGAACCCATGGACTTGTTTGCCGCCCTTTAGACTTACCATTGAACTGCAAGCAGGGAGGATACATACAAGAGAAACCTTGTTTGGTGTGATTCCTTCTACTTGCATGTTAAAGAAAAGCTGACAGGCTTCTTTGAAGTTACTGTTTTGTACATAACCATTTACAATTGATGTCCATGCAAACACGTTCCTATGGGTTAACTGTTCAAAAACCTTTCTTGCTGGGTTAACTCTGCCGCTCTTGGAGTATATGTCAATTAAACAACAGCCTAAGTGATGATCATCACCACTTATTCCTATTTCTAGATTTAAGCTTTTCTTGAAGACGTGGCAGTGGAGTTCCCTTCCGTAATGCCACGTTTTCCTATCCTCTACGCAAAATGAGAGTAGAGTTGAAACCGTAAAGGCATCGAAGTCCCATCCTTCCATTTTCATCTCTTTCACGAACTCCCACAACCCATTTTCAGAACTTTTATCTTTCAAACGTACATAGCCCAAAATAATAACATTCCAAGAACCCAAATTTCTAGTTGGCATTTCATCGAACAGTTTCAGCGCATCAGAGAGACTCTCATTCTTCACATACAAAGACATGAAAGAATTGGCGACCACAATGTCGAAAAGAAACCCGTTTTTTACACACATGGAGTGAACCATCTTCCCTGACATAAAATCCCCAGCTTCGGCCAATATTTTCACAACACTGGAGGATGTGAATTCATCAGGCGAAACAGTACTACCACACATTTGCTCAAAAAGACGAATGCTTTGCACAAAGAACCTGTTTTTCGCCAATCCATTGATCAGTGTGTTGTAAATGTAAACGTTCTTTGTTACGAATGAGTCGAAGAAGAGCTGTGAACTGAATGGGCTTTGGCACGTCGAGTATGCTGAGATGAGTTTTGTTGCAAGAACGGAGTGTTGGGTGAGGCCCGAACAGTGGATCCGAGCATGGCATTGTTGGGTGAGTTTGAGAGTTCGATAATCAATGGAGAGTTGAAGGAGGTGTAAGAGATGGAGAGAGGTGGCGGCAGAGGATGTGTGGCAATGGCGAGTCATGGGTGTGGACGCCAACACCCAGAGGCCTGCAGAGGATTTGATCGTCACTCTCATTATTGAAGACTACTACTGATATTATGCGCGCGTGAAGGTCATGCACGTGTTCCTTTTCCAGCTCCGTCTACCGTTTTCATTAGAAATGAAATACTCCAATGTAGCAGCGAAACTTTGTCGATTCTCAAAAACTCAATAAACTTTTTTTTGAGTAAAAATTGACCTTTCCGGTTCCCAGTTTTCTCAAAGATTTTCGCATTTTCACGTAACATACGAGATACTCTAAAGATGTTTTTCAATTTTTCACAAAATTTTGTGTATGGGCTGCTCCAAAGTCCAAATACGTACTATGGGAGTACCGGACAGTAAATTTTCGTTATCTTACGGTTGAATAGACTTCTAGGCAGCCGCCAGGTGTTCTTCTGTGTTCTTCATCGGCTCTAGAGGTTCATTCAAGTAGGTCATTCAAGTCTCAAAGCGGTCATAAGTCTAGGATCCTCTAGTTGAGTTATGTGTTCTTCATCTGCTTTTCTTGTCCGGCGTTTATTCTTGTGGAAAAGAATCCAAAGGTTCAACTGAGCAGAAGATCGAATGGTTAATTTCTGGTGAATCAACGTGGAGAAAATCGAGATGCTAGGACTTGACAGATTTGGAAATGGAAAATCAGATTTATCAGTTATTTTTTATTTTTATGGTTTTATTTTCACGTTTTTTATGTTACTTTGTTTATTGTTGATGTCTTTAGTTTTAGGTCTAAGACAAATTTGTTATATATTATGTTGACGTCGTAGGAAAGATCTATGTGACCAGTGATTGTTGTGTCACATCCGTTTGGTGGTTAGCGATTCGTATTGCTCTTTCAGGGGTGATCGTCTCTGAGTCTAGCGGTAGGATTGATAATGCTAGTTGGTTAGGGATAGTTGTTGTCAGGGTTGGTCTTTTTGAGTTTGTTGTAACGATTCATTTCCTAATGATTTTAATACATAGCGGTTTGTTTTGATGATTAAAAAAATCACTAAATTTGTTTTCAGAACTTCAAATGCGCTAGTGGTGGAACCTGTCCCGCTCTAGTCCAGTTTTGCTCCAGCCGACAACCAGGCAGTTCCGTTCACTCAATGACCCATCGATGCCTATCCAGTATAGTTAATGACCTGACAATCCTTGTCATGGTCAAGTCCCCAATTTTTAAATCATTTTTTCAAAATGGAGAGTTTCGAAAGAGCTGTTGAATTACAAGTCAACACGGAAAAGGGGAGAAGAAAAAGTAGTCAAATTGGTCGTTGAGACCGACCAAGACCAACCCGTTCCGGTATCAATTTTCCTATACTCGAGACCAAGTATCCTACTCCGTATTTGGTTGTAGACCTAGTAAAAATCTTTCAAATTTGGGAATGGAAAACCCGAACCCACATAACTTGCCAGATCCAACCCTATCCGACCCTATTTAATCGGGTATTTGATTTTTAAAAATATTTATGGGTTAAATATGTTTGAACCTGCACCTAATGGGTAGGGTTGCGGAATAAAAATCTCAAACCCGATAGTACCCGACCCGGCCGAAGTTCATTTTACTATTATTATGCTACAACGTTTTCTTGGATAATTTCAATTTAAGACCAATGTGCTCTACCTAGGACTTTACGATATTAGAATAGAATTATAATTAAACATTTATCATTTTGACTAGGTGATTACTATATATTTATGTCTCCTTCTAAATAAACTTCCTTTACGGAAGGATGTTTTAATACTATTACCTAATGTTTTTTTCTTATAAAAAGATATGAGTACTTGTATTTGTTTGTGTGTTTTGAAAACAAGTTAATCAAGTTTTAAATTGGTTACATTAATTTTCCACATGAAAGATGCAACCCGAAGTGATTCTTTTCCCCAATACCCGACCCGCCCCGTTCATGCATGGTTTACCAATTTATTTTGCGTACCGCGGGTTGATTAATAGACAACCCGAATAAATCGGGTAGGCCAAAAAATATAGCAAACCCAACCCACCCCGCCCGATGTGCGGCCCTAGTCTAGAGTCTAGATAGGGATGACAACGGGGCGGATCGGGGACGGGTACACATAAAACCGAAACCGTCCCGTTTGATAAATGTTTGCCCCAAAACCGCCCATTACCCGTTCGGGTAATTTTTATTTGAACCGTACCCGCCCCAATGGGGAATCGGTTTATTCGCGGGTAACCGTTTGTCCAAATGATACCAAATAACCAATTTCCAATACTACTTGTTATTTATATATTCAAATCACCCTAAAACACACAAAAGTATATATTTAAGCAATCAAACAGACTGGCCTAAATTCATTAGTATGACATGCACCTAATATCTCTTGTTACATACTAAAAAAGTAGTAATCCATCGCAAAAAAAACAGTTTTAGGCCTTAAAAAGTAGTAATCCATCGCAAAAACACACGTTTTAGGCCAAGAAGGATCGAAGGCAACGAAAAGAGCCATTGCCGTTCTAAGCAGAGGTGCAGAGTCTTGAGCTCCTAAACCGTGATCCGCATAACTTGAATAGGGATGTCAGGGTTTTTTTGAAGTGGGCCTTTTTTGGTGTATTATTCTTTATATACTTATATGAGTATATACAATTTAGTATACACGTTTAGAATATATACTTATTATTCTTATATGTATATAGTTATAATTTATTAATAATGTTATGGATCGGGTAACGGTGTGGGTACCCGCACCATTAGTGAACGGAGCGGTTTCGGGGTGGATAATGGGACGGATTAGTATAGAACCATAACCGCACCACTATCCATATAAAAAAATCGGGTATTCTCAGCCTCGTCCGTACCCATTCCCCAGTCAAACTGGTTTTCCCCAGTTTGACTAAGTCTATTCGGTGCGGGTATCCAACCGAAATTGCCATGAGTGGATACAGAGCGCTGTGAGTGTGTACACAAGGTCAAAAGCCATTCTGTTTCACGTCGACTCCGTCCGTGCCGGAGATGAGCGCGGTGCACCTTATCTCCCGCCGGCAAACTCCTCTGTTCCTTTCTTCTTCTCCAAAATCTCAACTCCGTCAATTGTGCACCGCCGCCGCCGTTTCTGCACCCTTGAAACCTTGGTTCACTCCACCTCCTACTCCGCCAAAACCTCCTCAAAACATTCATATCGATCCAATCCTCACGAGCCTTTCAGAAGCCATAACGAATTCCACAAGGAAATCCCTCCAAGCCTCCCTCAAAAACGTCCTTCCATCTCTTAAACCCCAACACATCATCGACCTAATCAATCTCAACCCTCACTCTCTCCCCACTTCATCTCTGTACTCCTTATTCACATGGCTTTCCTCTCACTCATCCCCTTTCCGCCACACCCTCCACACCTACTGCACCATGGCTCACCTCCTCTCCGCCTCCAACATGCTCCCACAGGCTCAGTCTCTTCTGCAAACAATTGTTTCGAGAAAAGGGAAGAATTCAGCCTCTGCGATTTTTACTGCCATTCTTGAATCTAAAGGTACACCGGACTCCATCACCCGGCTTTCCTGCTGCCTCATAGTTCTGTATCTCGAATCTGGTTTTATCTCGGATGTTATCCAGTGTTTTCGGATTATCAAAAAGCATAGGTTGGTTATTCCGCTTCAAGCTTCTTCGCGGGTGATTGATCATTTGATGAAAGCTGCACCATTGGTAGGTTGGGGGTTATATAAGGAGCTATTAGAAGCAGGGTGTCCTCCAAGTGTGTATTGTTTCAATATGTTGATGCATAAATTCTGCAGGGAAGGCCAACTGAGGGAAGCTCATTTGGTTTTTGATGAAATTAGGAAATGGGGCATATTGCCTACAGCTGTTAGCTTCAACACTTTGATCAATGGATATTGCAGATCAGGTGATTTAGCTGCAGGGTTTAGGTTTAGGACTGAAATGGAGAAGACTGGAGTAGTTCCAGATGTTTATACTTACAGTGCTTTGATCAATGGCCATTGCGAGAAGTGTTTAATGTCTGCTGCAGGAAAAGTGTTTGATGAAATGTGTGAGAGAGGTTTACTCCCCAACCATGTGATCTTCACAACATTGATTAAAGGGCACTGTAAAGACGGGCGGGTTGACTTTGCCATGGATGTCTATCAACGCATGCTGAGAAACCACATTTGGCCCGATCTGATCACATGTAACACACTACTTGATGGGCTTTTGAAGAGCGGGGACCTAATGGGGGCCCGGAAACTCAGCTCCCAAATGAACGAAAAAGGTATAAGGCCCGATAAGATCACATATACCACACTCATAGATGGCTATTGCAAGGCGGGAGATGTAGACGCTGCGTATGAGGTCCAAAAAGAAATGACAGAAAATGGGATAATGCTCGACAATGTAACATATACGTCCTTCATCACAGGTCTATGCCGAGAAGGGAAGTTAGTAGACGCGCAGAGAATGTTAAGAGAAATGTTGAGTGTCGGTTTAAAACCTGATGTTCAAACATACACTATGGTCATTGATGGCTTTTGCAAGAAGGGAGATGTGAAAATGGGGTTTGAGCTGTTGAGAGAAATGCAAAGGGATGGATATAGGCCGGGAGTGATAACCTATAATGTTATTATGAATGGTTTGTGCAAACAAGGTCAGATGAAGAACGCAGAGATGCTATTGCATGCTATGCTTAATATAGGGGTTGTACCCGATGACATCACGTACAACATTCTTTTGGAAGGACATTTGAGGAAGCGCGTGAAGTTTGGTGATGGCGGTGATATGATTCTACGACGTGAAATGGGGCTTGTTCTTGACTATGCTTCTTATTGTTCCCTAATGGGTAGCTTAAATGTAAAGAAAAAACAAAGATGTTAATACAAGTTGACCCTAATGGAGTTGCATAGCAATTGTCGACAGCGTGTAGAAGCAATGCTCACCATCTATGAAGCACGGATACTTCCCTAGGGTAGCGTATCGGCGTATCGGATACGTTCTCGTATCCGATACTCTAGGATACCCGTACCGTACGTTCCCGGGCCGTATCTGTAATTTTTAAAAGTTTCCATTTTTTTTTGTAATTTTTTGAAAGTTTCCGATACTCGTATCCTGACGGATACCTGTATCAACTTTTTTTTAAAAAAAAAATCCCAAAATTTACTTAATAAAATTCTAAAAAAAAAATGAAAATCTAAAACTACATTTTACTTGGTAATCAAATAATGGGCCTATATGGCTATATCCGAGTTAAGTCATTAACTCATACTCCGAAGTGGGTACTTGCACTTTTAATTTCAAGATTGCAGTTGTTTGACTTATTTCTCATTTTAAATTAATGACTTATTGACTACATTTATATTTCGAGATACACTAGTGTATATGAGAAATACTATGAATTTATTACTAAGTATCTTGAAAAAGGAAAATGCTTCAATGCAATGAATGGGTAGACATCATAGGATATTATATGTATATATATATTCAAAAAAAAAAATCTATTTTTAATATTTATAAATAGACCCCTGTAACTGTTAATATTTGTAAATACGCCCCCATAACTTTTAATATTTATAAATATGGCCTCGTATCCGTATCCTACTTTTTTTGGTTTTGACGTATCCCCGTACCCGTTTCCGCGTTTCCGCGTTTCCGCGTACCGGTATCGGTGCTACATAGCTCACCATTGATGGTGTACATACCTTAGGAACTTAGGATTGGCTTTTAATGCCTTTGCTCCAGTTCCATAGTTGTTTTATTTACTAGAAACGATGATAGTGTTGGTTTGTTTTCTTTCAAACTAGATTTAGAATTTTTGCTTTGATTTTCATGCTTAGTGAAGAACACTTATTTTAAACTGAAACCAAGTTAAGTATGAAATTGCCTATAATAGCTGTGAAAAACTAAATTACAAATAAGACTAATATGTTTCAATCTAGGAATGAAATAAAAGAGTAGAAGTAAATTCTCTATTTTAGGAATGAATGAGTTGTGAGAAACAATATTGGGGAAAATGTGTTATGTTTTTATCAAATTTATGGAATTCTCTCAAGTATATACAATCAAACTAAGCTATTAGGAGTATATTTCTTGAGAGTAACTATTTTGACTAGTCTTTAGAAAATTAGAAAAGGTAAAATAAGTTTTTAATAAATGTTAAACTAAGAAAAACTAATTAAAAAATTAGAAAGTTTTATTTTTTACCCCGAGGTGTCAAGGGGAGGGAACTGGGAGAGCCCAGGATAACGTGACTAAAATTCCCTCCACGGAGTTTCAAACGAGAGACCTATCCAATGAAGGAGTGGTTCGACGATCAGCTAAGCTGAACCGTTTTGTCTAAAAAACTAGAAAGTGATTTTTTTTTTAACTGAACTAAAGAGTTATTCAAATAAAATAAAACTAGAAAAAATAGAAGATTCATTTATAAAAAAAAAAAAAAACTAAACCATAATAAACTATTCCCGTCATTCCAAAATACTTGTCCCGCCTTTTTTCGGTTTGTTCCAAACAACTTTTCTCATTTTTGGGAAAAGGTTATTCATACGGAGTACGTAATAAGCAATCACAAACCGACTTTTATAAAATAATTAAAAATCCACCAAAGCTTAAATGCATCCAACGTAGACTTTTAAAAATGAATAAAAGTTTTGATGTATTGAAAAAAGTTATAAAATCTGTGGAATTGAATATCATTCATAATAATAGACTTGAATATCCATAATATAAATAGTCATTATCCATTATTTTCTTATCATCGCCTAGAAGATTTCAGTAGACTTTGAATGACCGTTTTTTCCTTCACGTGACCGTTTCTTGAGACATGGATGATATGATTTCCCATGTGGCCATGTTGATGAATGTTCATGTGTTTATCTGTTTATGTTTTCTTCTCTTCCACTTCTTTGCATTCTGGTTCATGTGTAAAGTTCTTCCCTAAAGCAATCCTTTTGTCATGTTCATACCCAATGCTCATCATCTCTCTTTGCCCGGAGGTTCCACTTCTCTCTTCCGATCAGGGGTAGAGGTAGAAGGGGCCAACCGGGGGTCGACACACCCCAAATTTGAAAAATCTTTGTATTTTTAGTGTAAAAAGTTATGTGTGAAAATTTATCTAAAAAATTCTTTAAATTGACCCACCGCAACCTTTGATCCTGGCTACACCCCTGCTTCCTATGAAAGCCTAGAAGCAGCCTACCCTTTAAAACTCTTTTGCATATGGGGCAATTATTACATTTGAATGTCCTACTCTGCTTTGAAAACTATTGTTACACATTATTGCTTAAAAACCTCATCATCATCATTACCCTAGTACCGCAAAGGCTCCAATCTACAGTAGGGTAAGGGGGGTCGGATGTACGCAATCTACAGTGGGGTAAGGGAGGGTATTGAAGCACAGAGAGACTGTTTCCGGATGACTCATAGTGAAAATCACGTCAAAATTGCACGGACCGGCTACTGTTTCATGACAAAGAAGCGCATACAATATAGTGAGCCATTTTTTATTATTGCTTAAAAATCTGATCTATTAATATTATTATGCATTGTAATGGCTACGATACACTCGATCTGCTCTTTATTATTTACATAAGAAATTGATTTTAATAGGACTAAAACATACTCAAAATTCCATAATAGGACTACATGTTTTAAATTTTCTAAATAGGACCGCTGATTACCATTCTACCCTTCACATCCATCTGCACTTCATCGGTTTTCACTCGATCGGCTGCAAAAATTCATCGCAGCAGGCAACCGCTTCACACATGCGCAAATCCTTTCCTCCCATGGACTGCAGCTCCATTACCGACTATGGCCTTGCACCTTCGCCGTCAATCGTAGGTGATTTCCTCATCCTCCTATTCTTTTTCTTTCTTCTTTCTTCCTCTTCCCCTAGTGCACTTCTTCTCCCTCATGCACTCTGTTTTCTGTTTTTTTCTTCTATTCATCTACTACCTTTTTAAATTCTAAATAAGTTTTTGGATATTATGTATTGATTTGGATTGTTTTGGATTTGAATTTTATTTTTTCATAAAAAAGCCACTTTCATAATCTGAGAATGTCAAAAGTATTGGTTATTTGAAAAAATGTCACGTTTGTGATAGTACATTGTATGAGAATAGCAATTTGAGAATGTCACATGTAAATAAGAAAATGTCATTAACATGTCATTATTCATATCAAGTGGCATAAAGTTAGTAAGAAAATGCCATTAACATGTAAAAGTTAAAGTTCAGTAAGAAAATGTCATCTTTATAAAGTTAGTTGCATAAAACTGACATTGTTTTGAGAAACGGATAAAAATATGACATTCTAGAGTTTTATAGTTTCAAAATGATATTGTCATCTTAATAGGTGCAATGCCATAAAAGTGACATTTTTTCTAAGTATTATTATTTTTATTTCATTCTTAAATTCAAGATTAATGAAAATCAATAAATAAGATTCAAAATCAAAGAAGAAGAAAACAGAGGACATTGAAGAAGATGAGAAGAAGGAGAAGGAGAAGAAGAGGAGGAAGAAGTGAAGAAGAATGAAGTGCTATTTGAAATAGGGAGCTACTTCCTCCTGCATGGCTGCATCTAATGGTGACAAATTCTTGAGCAGACATTTTTTGGATGGCAGTAAAGAAGCTTCATAGACCAAGATTAAGATGGGAGCAAAGCTTGGCCGAAGAATTCAACGGGGCTAGAGTCTTCTCAAAAGCGCACGCCTGGGAGAGCCTGGGAGAGTTAGTTTTATTTCATTAAGGGTAGTTTTGTCAGATTACCTCTTTTTAGTCCTATTTTTGTTAAATAAAACATAGTAGTCTTATTTTTGCAATTCTACCTTCTTTTAGTCCTATTTAGGTAAATCTCTCTATTTACATCATTTGTAGTTTCACATTTGTCGGAAGTCAGAACATTACTTTGGCGATTAACTACTTTAACTGGTCCTTATTAAAATTTCAAAAAAGGGTTAATTATCAAAATAGGACTAAAAGCTTGTTAGTTTGCACAAATAGGACAAAAAAGTAAATTATGTTTTGATAGGACAAATTATGTGTGTATTGGACAAAAAATACCCTCGTTGCTATTAAAATGTTTTAATTCATAATAAAATTTTAAATAAAAAAATCGTAAAAAATACTTAAAAAAATAATAAAAATACTTCGTATTTGATAAAAAATATAAAAAAATTAAAAAAAACAAATAAAAAGGAAAAAAACACCCCGCCTCTGCCGCCCCGCACCACCACCTCCAATCACTAAGGGAAAAAATGTCACATTCATTACGAATTCCATATTTATGGCAAAAACAATGTAAATGTCGGCATTCTCAAAGAGTAATATGTCATTTTTTGGCATTTTCAGAAGAAAACAAAAAATGGCAGTTTTTAGAAAAAATGACATTTTTACAACGATCAGAGGTGGTGGTGCAGGGAGACAGTACAAATGGTGGAAAAGGCGTCCATATCTTTTATGATTTTTTATAGAATTTTACTATTTATTTATTATTGTTTTTTTAAATTTTTTTAAAACATATTTTATAAAAAAAAATTATGATGTTTTCAATTCTTTTTTTTAATTTATTATGAATTAAACATTTAATTATGACTTTTGACTACCTTTTATTCATATTTAAAAGGAGGTGTAAGAATGAAATGAAACAAATGGTATGTTTCCATTTTCCAATAGGAGTAATATGATCCTATTTTGGAATAAAAACATAACAAGTTCTATTTTGAATTTTTGTCATAGTTTTACTCCTATTTGGAGTAATTTCTCTTCAAAAAAACCATATTTTGAAATTTTTGGATAGGCATACAAAGTACTTCATAAAATAATTTAAAGTATCATTGTTCAAAAAATAATAGATAAAATGTCAGCATAGTACAACAGTCAAAGACAGGAGAGCGGAGATCTTTCTTTCAATCGAAGGGTCATGGGGCTAGAATAAATGGTTCTCAATATGTTCCTCTAATAAAAAGGTGTTCATTTGGACCTATATAAATAGGCTTGGTCTTAATTAACTTGTTCAGTTGGCCTGAACGTGTACGTAGAGGTTGTTTTAAGTGTTACCTGAATTGTTTTAGTTTGATGTTGGTATGTTTATGTGTATCTTATATTCTTATCAATAATATTCAAATTCGAATTTAGTCAAAACTTGTTTGTTTTTCTTTGTTCAAGTCTATTCTAATTCAATATGGTTTAATCAAGTGCAATCTAGTATGATTTGATTTGTTGCAATCTGATATGCTCTAAATTGTGACTAAAGGATAATTCTATTCACAACTCTTAATTTACTAATCAAATGCACAAAATTAAATATTAATAAATAAATTTAAACTCAAACATCCTAGTTACCCTTATAAGGATGTTTTCTTTTGGACTGAAATTTGCTGGTCTGGTCTGGTCTGGTCTGGTCTGTTTAAGTCTGGTCTGGTCTGGTCTGGTCTGGTCTGTTTATGTCTGGTCTGGTCTGGTCTGGTCTGTTTATGTCTGGTCTGGTCTGGTCTGGTCTGAACTGGTCTGGTCTGGTCTGGTAAACGTCTGGTCTTTGTGTATTTTATAACTACGGAAGTCTGGTCTGGTCTGGTCTGTCTGTTTAAGTCTGGTCTGGTCTGGTCTGGTCTGTGACTGAAACCCGTCCAAAAGATTACATCCTTATTGTTATAACAACATAATCATCATTAAACGAGGTCGCACAAGTCACTAAGCCTTACAAGTCGAAACACTCAACGGAGAACATCTACTGCATACGTTCTTTCATTCTAAAGTTGCAAACTGCTGCAAGAAAAAAGTAGAATTTGACTGAAGTAATTACAAAAATATACTCCCCCGTCCCTAAATAAATTTTCAATTTTCCTTTTTCGTCCGTCCCAATTAAAACTTCCACTTTCTTTTTTTTGGCCAGAATTTGTGGTTCACAGCAATTCTTACACATTTCTCTCTCCTCTGCACAACCTCCACCACACAATACCCATTATCTTAAACTTCGTGCCAAACCTATTTGGAAGATATAATAGGGACGGAGGGAGTATAAGTAATAACAGTATAAGTAGCTGTGTTGCTACAACTTTTGGCTCCAATTTTCCCGCCCAATGCATGTGAAGGTAAAAGGAAAGTAAAGATTATACTCCCTAATAAGAATGTTAATAAAGGAAATATATATATATATATAGTAGTAATACATATTACAATGTTAGTAACTTAGTACAAGGAAATAACAATCTTTATCTTTATATAATATGAAGTGGCAGTGTTGCTACAACTATTGGAAAGTAAAGATTATAATAAGAATGTTAATAAAGGAAATCTATATAGTAGTAATACATATTAGCACGTTAGTAACTTTTTTTTTATCGAATGTGACATATCATTAAATTAGCATTCAGTAGGGGTGCAGGATAATAAAAGAATCACAAATAACCATACGCTCTTGGCTGAGACTCAGAGTTAACCACCTTTACCAAAGTAGTATAACTCGCTAGACCTGAATTGGGCAACATAAAGCCAATGACGATTACCGCTAGACCTCTCATCCCCCAAACCTAATGCAAGAGTCTTACAGAACAAAAAAAACATGAAAGTAAAACAGAAACATCCAACCATGAAAAAAACAGATAAAACAAACATTAAAACTAAATCCAGTACTTGTCTTCCCAATCACCATCTTCAGATAAAAGCTCGGCGGGCCTAAAGAGCTTGGCCCTCCGCCTCCCCATTTTTTGGCCCATCAGAGCCATTCCCTCTCCAGCTATGCCTCCCTTCGTCTGACTTTCCCAGATTCTTCCGCGTTTAGTGTCGCCCGAGGATTCTTCCTTACCATCTGTCTTGCCCTGCTGGGATATGCTAGACTTTGAGTCTGCTGAATACTCTCCCCCGAGATCAGACTTCCATTGTTGACCATATCCACCCGAACTAGAAGCCTCATTAACTAATTTAACCACTTGTTAGATCCTGTTGGGCTGGTCTTCACCCTTCCTCTAGCTCTGAGATCAGCTCCATAAGATTTCTCAACAACAAAACCTTCTTCATATTTCAGTGGACAGAATTTATCAAAATGCCCAATTATCCCACACAAAAAAACAGAAAACTGGGTAACTTTTCATATTTAAAGTCCACCCAGTGTTTGACCCCATCCTTAGTTAAGGTAGTGCCTTTTTTCAAAGGCATGCGCACATCCAAAGCAACTTGTATACGCAGATAAGGTTTTTGATTGCCTTCTAAGTGACTTTTATCAAACTTAATAAAAGAGCCTAAAAAATTTCCAATCTTCCATGCAGATCCCAAATTCCTAAATTTAATAGAGACATTATGAACCTGTATCCAAAAACTAGCCTCAAACAGATTCGTAGATTCAGGTATGTCATCTGGCTGAACTGCTTTCAGGAGAATTAAATCATGTTCAAACAGCCATGGACCTCAATCACACGATTCATATTCAAAGCATGATTAAAATTAAAGAGATACCGTTTTTCTCCAATCTTCTTGATGGACATACCTTTTACTGGACGCCAGATTGAAGCCAAGAGCTTTTGGAATCCCGGAAGCTTTACCTTCCGGTCCGTGACCACGATCCCCACCATCGGAAACACCTTCGGTGTTTTAGCCTCCTCGCAGTCCTCCGCCGCCTCGTCGTCGAAGTTGAGTTCATTCTCCTTCTCGTCGATAGCCATCCTCTTATATGTATTGACAATATCCTCCATTCCAGCCTTCTTGGTTCGTTTGCCCGAGTCCCAATTGAACCAATCTATACTCCCACTGCCCGTCCGACGAAACAGCCACCAGCGAGCTCATCCAATCAACAAGAACCTCCCCTACCTTCGACCGTCTTTACCGCATCAGTCCCCCGATCTTCGAAAGCCTCGAAATCGGAAAACAAAACCCTAGCGACCACCGCCCTAGAGAGCTCCGAAATTCTAGAGGGTTAAACTCTCGCTCCGTTCTTTCTTAGTTGTTACCACCACGTTAGTAACTTAGTACAAGGAAATAACAATTGAGAATAATAATTAAAAAATATCTTAAGATACTATTCAGTGTAGAGGAAGTAAATGCTGGAAACTGGAGAAAGGAAAATAGAAAATTGTGTTTACCAAATCGATTTTCAAAAACAAAAAAATGAGATGTCTCTGTTTTCCTTAATGAATTGGAGAAGTGACTTTTACTAGTTTTCCAAATTTGGAAAACGCGGATGTTGCAGTCCCGTTGCAATGAATTTGCATACTTACGCCTAGTGTTGGATCCGATCCCGCTCTGGTGTCAGCTCCAGTCCGGTCAACATCCCGACGGTCCCTATCTGGTCTGGTAAACGATCTGGCGATCTGGTCTAGTCATTGACTCGATGGTCCATGTTCAGTCCGGTCGACGAACTAGCGGTCCATGTTCGGTCGATGACCCGACGGCCCCGGTCCGATCTTGTCCACGTCCCGACAGTCCCAGTCCAGTCTAGTTCACCACCAAGCACTACTACATTTTCGAGTCTAATGTAACATTAAAATTGTAACACTTGTTAAAAGCGTTACCTGAAACTAGTCTATTGTAACAGTATTGAATATATCGTTACGTTAGCTTAGAAATTGTTACATTTAGTGTGTCCATAATGTAACACTTTTCTTATGGCATATATACTGTTACATTCTTTTAACATGTGTTACATATAATGAACGCTAATGTAACACTCGTATATCAAAACTCAAAAGTGGAAAACCCAGCAAATTAAAATTTCCGCCAAATTGGAAACCCGCCCGCGCCAAATGAAATAAATGGTCTGTATTACACAAAACAAAACCTAAATCCCTATGTAATAAACGAAACCTAATTCTTCTCACACAAGCTCTGCCGCACACAAGCTCTCTTAGGAACGCAGCAGAATTCTTTGGAGCTTCGCCGTCGTTCATCCCATCCACCGGCCACCGCTGTCCGCTGCTACTGCCGACCGCGGTCGGCACTAGCAACCGCGCCCTGCGCTTTTCCATCTTTTCACTACTTAGCCAGGTATGCAAGGTTTCACAAAGTTATTGTTTTTCTTCTTGCAGACTTGGTGTAGTTATGCTCAGAACGCCTTCTTCTTGATGCTAAAGTTCTAATTTATCTGTTTGTAGAATTTTACCGACTTGACTAAAGAGATAAACTCTATCTAAACCATGTTTTTCGAAAACAAAGAAATTGCAAAAACGGACTTTGACAAATCTAAGGAGAAGGGGTGGATTGTCTTTTGACTTGTGGCAAATACCCATGGTCACTGTTTATACGTGCCTTTTTGTTGCTCATAGTTTATTTTTGTGTGAAAATATTACCTATGACATAGATAAAAATCGTTTTGTGATTCTTGAGAAAAAAGTGTTTGTGAATGTGATAAACCCAGGAGTTAGGAATTGTTAAGTGATGAAGAAAACAGTCTAGGAGTAGAAGGAAATGGGCAGAAACAGAGTATATTTTTCCCTCCCTTCCTTCATCAGTACATGTCCCTTAAATACATTGAAAATGCAATAACTAAAACAAAAGAATAAATTGCTACGAGCTTAGTGGTGCTTAGTGGTGTCTCACGTACAAGCCATACTAACTGCAACTACATCTGCTATGAACAAATACTCCTATAAAGAAAGAAATCAGAATGTTGTGATTTAAGAATAAGTCTGCACCTGCAGGAGAAGTACGTCTCTTTCGCTTTCCTCTCCGTCTGCAACCACATCGACTCTCTCGCTCTCTCGCTCTGGCCAGACAGGTTCTCGTCTTCTCCAAATCTACTTTACTTCTCAAACCCCAAATTCTCTTCTCTAATATAGCAATAATGAACTTTACAAGTGTGGATTTCTTGTTTTTGTTAGTAATGCATAAAACATGTTTGTTAAAATGTATGATGACACTTGATAATACATATGTATATCTCCGGCCAACCACCTCCTTGTCATCATTTACTTTTCTTTCTCTATGTACTGGTCTGTTGGCTAATGGATTATTATTGATTATATAGTTGGTGTTGATTTAATATAACACTCTTGAATAGTTGAATTGTATATGTGTGAATTTCTTATGTGCCTATATGTGTAATGCATAGAAGCTGTTTGATAATATGCTTTATGTTAGTCTTGATAATATTGTATGCAATTGTCTTATGGGGGGAAAGTATTTGTAATGAATATTTGATGGTGAAATTTTTACCAATCCAAATATTAGAGGCTCAAGTACAACCATGAGTGCACATTGGATAAAGCCGCTCTTGTTTATAAGCTTGGCTGCGACTTGGGGCTTTCTTTTGGAGAAGGATAAAACATATAGTTTCAGTTTTTTATATAAAACTTTAATTTGTGGCTGTAAATAGTAATTTAGGTGGTGTGAATAGAATTACCCAATTATCACATCTATCGGTCTATCCTCATGGATTTTTGCTTGGAGTAATGACATGCCAGATTGGCAAATCAGGCTTTTATATCATTATTACAAAGGCTATAATAAAAAAATATCAAATGTATAAGACAATTACTTCTAGTTTTTATTATTTTTTTTAAATCCTTCTATTTACACTTTTTGTTTTTCTCCCTTTCTCTTTCTTTTTACCCATTTTCTGCTTCTATTTCATTCCCTTTCTCACCTATTTCATATTTTTTCTTTTTTACCCATGGCCTCTTAAATTTTTGTACATCTTCTTGAAAAACTTGTATTCTCATTTATTTGAAAACATATGAAGTATTCGGTAAAACAACATTAAGAAGCTCTATAAGATTGGATTATTTTATATAAGTTGCTTTAAGTAGTTTCTGAACAAAGTTCTATAAAAGCTGTTTCTAAAAGTTGCTTTGAAGTATTTGGCTACGACTTTTAACATTTATCTAAGTTGATTTGAAGTATTTGGCTATGACTTTTACAGTTTTAAGAAAACATATAATAATTTGAAGTACTATAATATACACTTAATTAATAAATATGCCCAATTAATCACAAGTTGTGAATTGTACATGAAGTATTGTCAAACTGATTTTCCTAAGTAATGGACAATAAGAAGCTTTATAGTTGTGTTTCTCACCTTCATAATTTTTTTGGAAATATACAATTCTGCCTCCTCTTAAAGATAAGTTTTAAATTAGTTTCTTTCAATTTTGTTTTATCAAATTAAATGCTTTCATTTAGGGATTAGAAGTTTTAAAAATTCATTATCCTTAGGTCATGGATAAAGAAAAAAATAAGTGGTGGGATTTTCCTAAATGGGCTGATGAATTCGAAAGTGGAGTTGATGACTATCTTGAGAAAGCATTTGCAACTGAAGCACAAGGAGATCAAATACGTTGCCCATGTAGCAAATGCTTGTACCGCTATTGGCTGCATAGAAATGTTGTGAGAGATCATATAATCTGTAAGGGTTTTGTTCCTAGGCCAGAGAGAGATTTTGAATCAAAGGCTAACTTGGAAAGCTCAATGTTCGAGCATAGCTCTGGATCACGTTTTAATGATGATATAGACGGGCTATTGGAAGATACATTTAGGTCAGGACCAAATGAAGAGGCACAAAATTTTTTTAAGCTTGTCACAGAGGGTCAACAAGAACTATATCCGGGTTGCAAGAACTTTTCACAACTTTCTTTCACCATTCGGTTATTTCTTTTTAAATGTGATCACAAGCTAAGTAATGCAGCATTTTCAGACTTGTTGGATATTATAAGGGATATGCAACCCGAAGCAAAGTTGCCGACGTCTTTTCACCAAGCAAAGAATGTCCTTAATGCTTTGGGCCTTGATTATACAAAAATTGATGCATGCCCCAACGATTGCATGTTGTATTGGGAAGAGTATGCAGCTGCATCATGCTGCCATGTGTGTAAAACTCCAAGGTGGAAATCAAACAATAAGGATGATAGCGGCAAAAAGTGTCATCGAATTCCAGAAAAAATTTTGAGGTACTTTCCGATCAAGAGAAGGCTGCAGAGATTGTTTATGTGTTCACAGACTGCTGGTTACATGACATGGCATGCAAATGGACGCCCCGTTGATGGACTCTTAAGGCATCCAGCTGATGGTGAGGCATGGAAGGATTTTGATTTGTTATATCCAAATTTTTCTAAAGATCCTCGCAATGTGAGGTTAGGGTTGGCATCAGATGGATTTAATCCATTTAATAATATGAGTATCTCACATAGTACATGGCCAGTTATACTCATAAATTACAATCTGCCACCTTGGATGTACATGAGATCTGGTTTTAGATGCATCTGGTTTTATACTGAAAGAGATGAGTTTAGTTTTGTTTTGTTTAGATGCATCTGGTTTTATACTGAAAGAGATGACTACGGGCTTACTCGGGTTAATCAATCAATCAAAATTCATGACTACGGGACCAACGGTTATGGCAGAAGTGCATAATCGTAAGATTGAAGAACGACCGATAATTATTTTGAATGAAGTAGGCCAACCGATCGGTCCTACTCCTGATCTTGTTCGTGAATTTAGTCGCTTCTTGGGTACGGTGGCTAGAGATTCAGAACTCACACCTTTGAATTATGTCACATGGCATAACGTACCACAACATAATTTAGACAACATCTGGGATTACGTCATGGTACGTTGATTTCACACTTATGCAGTTTACCAGTTTTTATTTAAAATGATGTGTGCAAACATTATTTTAACTTTCAATATATTAAACATGTGAAGGAGAAGTATATGGTTCCAATGGAAGGACAGAAGTGGGTTTTTTCTACCATTAATGACTTGTGGCGTGTTCATAAATCAAGAATGAAGAAAGCCCATTATTATGCATACACAACTAATGAGGAAAGGTGGAAAAATCGCCCAAAAACTATTCCCGAGAATATATTCAAAGACCTTGTGAACTACTGGAATGTTGATGAGGTTGAGGTAATTATACAATTCATTTTAGACTAACATATTTACCGTAGTACAGATTATTATAAAGCCTTTTTATATATTGCACCATATTTCAGATTATTATAAAGCCTTTTTTTATTAAATATGTAGGAGGCAAGTGACATCAATAGAAGCAATCGTATGCAGTATGATGACCCACACACTTTGGGTCCCACATCATTTGCATTATTGCGTCATGTATTGGTAATGTTATTTAGGTTTACTAATTTCTTTTAAATTCAGGTTATTGAAGTGTATAGTTATTCACTTTAGATATTATATTTTATAAATGTTTATAGAAACAAGATGATCCCAACAATCAAGACCCATCTCAAGCAACATTGTATAAGGAATCAAGGCTGAGAACTCCTGGGAATCAGTACTTGACAAAAAATGACAAGGCTTCTGAAAATATTGTGAGTTAATAATATTTATATCGATTTAAATTAACATTTCCTTTCTTTTACCTTACAACTCATAATTGTTTTTACATTCTTATTGATGTATAAATAGAAACAAATGAGTGAGTTACAATCTCAGCAAGAATGTGGAGAAAAGGAAACTAAAGAAGATCCTTACTATCTTGTGGTTAAGAAACCTGAATTGAACGGGCGTTTACGCCTTCGTGGTCGAGGTATGAACAAATCTAAATTGAAGAAAAGTAATAAGGGTGCAAAGTCAAGCTACACACTTCCAGAGGAGTTCTTGCAAAGTGTCACAGCAAAATTGATTCCAAACATCAGAGCAAATATGAAAGAAGAAGTTGCACAAGATGTGGCATCCATGGTACTATCACAAATGAAGGCAGCTAATCCAGGGATAACTCTTAACATTCCAGAATTTTGCATATCGGCGAGAGACAAATCAACACATGAACTGGATGGGTCAAATGGGAAATCTAATGTGAGTATAAATACTTGATCATAGTCTCATACATATATATTTGGAATTCTACTTGTGTTGTTGAATAGTTTTATATGGTTGCCTCTAGTTATGATTTAAAAGTGATTATGCGTGTTGTTGTATTGTTGAATAGTTTTATGTAGTTGCTTCTAGTTTTATAGTTACTTTGCTAGTAAGATAGTTCTTTTCAAAGGCCTAGCAATTATAATCTCTTAATCCAAGTGCTTCTGATTTTGTTTTTGAATGTTTATTAAACGAGTCAACTAAAAAAGGAAAATCATGTTAGATTTAATTTACTGGATGCGATGGATCAACGGCCGCAGGACAAAAGTTCGAACTCAATTTTGTGAAAAAGGTTGTTAAGCATATATGCCAAATGGTTTTCTGTTAACATTTCCCTGTCAGGTTATTAAAATATTTGCAGATTTTTCTTGAGATATGATACTTAATTGAGATAGTTTGATAGGAACTTGGAATGCATTTATGATGTCTGATAAAATTTCTCAAATATTCCTTCCTGTTACTTTTCATTCTATTCATTATGCTATTTGGCAGAGCCGTTCTTCTTATTCTTCTTGTTTTTCTTGAAAATTGTAACTGGTTGTATTTGTGAATTGTGGGTTTTTTTGCTAAAAAGCATGGTCCATTGTTTTCTCTCTTTCTCTCTTGTAATATACCTGCAAATTATTAACTTACTAAGTATTTGTCAGTTCATATAATAACACCACCTAATATAAATTAGACATCAAACCAACATGGTTTTTCTTTTGCAAAACAAGAATTTTCCTGATATTCTTAGTTGTGTTGTCTTAATGGCTTTATTTTATTTGAACTTCAGGGAAAAAGGAGTTATTAACATTTTGAAAGTTGGATATGGTACTGCTCATAATTGATGATGTACAAAGTTTCTTCTCTGTTTGGTTAATGCTAAATTTCTAATTGTTAAGAAATTAATTGGTCTTACCCTTGCTTAACTTTTCTGCTCAGACCTTTTTACTAAAGTGATACAAAGCTTTGTTGGTTTTATTTAATTGGAACTTTCATTTCCCTTTTGTGCTATGGAGTATAAAGAATGCAGTAGCATGGAGGATTACATCTCCATCTAAATGATTAAAGGAACAAATCAGTGAAAATTATTGAAAGAAAACCTCCTAAATTCTAATTATTGTAAATCAAGCAGTCCTAACTTATTATTAATTATTATAGTAGGGAATATGCAAAATGTATATTGTGTTTAAACTTTAAACTTTATTTGTTTGATGTAGTATTTTTTGCCAAGAATATCTTTATTTTTTGGTATTATGTTGAAACCGAGTTGGCCGCCTAGTTGGCGAATAATCGACGCCTAGTCGCCCTAGACGCTAGGCGGTGCTTGGCCGCCCAACTAGCGCCTAGCGAATTTCAGAACATTGATTATTATTACGAATTACTTTGAATATGTACTTATGTTATGAATACCATATATGCAAGAAATATTGGTGAAGATAGAGCTGATTATTTATGTTCACATCATTTGGATTGTTATTATTATTTTGATGAAGATGTGAAGTTTGCAAAAAAATGTGTGGAATAGGTGAGTTAATTATTTCAACTGTTTGTTTTACAGGCAAATGATGAACTTGATGATGAGGATGAACTACAACAGCTTGAATGATGCAACTCGATGATGCAGTCTTCTTGTTGAAAACTTGGAATGCTTCTTCATTAGGGATGAAGTTCTTTTATCAAGAAAACATTCAATTTTTTGTAGTTTGCTAAAAAAGAACCAAGACTTGACAGTTTGATTCCAATTGACTAATTGGTGGAATATTGTTGCAGTTTTTTTTGTCCGTAGATTGAATTCCAGTGCAGTTTGGTCGATTCTGTATTTCGGTCATGTGCTTGTTAGTTATCATATTAATTGAATGGACTCCGGGATGTTCTAAATTGATACAATGTACTTTAAATTAGAAATTACATTATGGAATTATGTCTTTTTGGCTTTTTATAATATAAAAAAGTTTTAGGGAGAATTCTGTTTGCGTGTACATATAAATGAATGTGTGTATATGTATAATATGTGTGTGTGTATATATATGTATACATATATATACACGTGTGTTACATTATGTGATAGATCAACACATAAAAAAAGTGTTACATTTTCCTTTGTAGTGTTACATTCGTTCAAATAAAAAACTGTTACATTTGCACTCTGTTGTAACGGTTTCATTAATATTGTAACACTTGCTAAGAGTTAAGAAAAGTGTTACGGTTGGTTTCGTAATCGTTACATAACGTTACATTAGAGCTATGGTAACGCGAGCGTAGGTAACGATGAAAACTGTTACATTTAATATAATGGTAACAGATTTTTGGACCTATTGTAACACATTTGGGCGTTGCAAAAGACCTTTAAATGTAGTAGTGAAGTGGCATCTGTCCGGTCTAGTCCACGACCATACTGTCCTTGTTCGGTCTGGCCGCCAATGACCAGATGGTCCATGTTCGGTCCAATCCACGACCAGGCGGTACTTGTTCGATCCGATCGACGATCGAGTAGTCCCGGTCTGATCCAGCCTAGTCAACGACTCGGCAATCCCCATCCGGCCAATGACTGGCAATTCCCGTCCTGTCCATTCTACCACCTGGCGGTAGGGCAGAGCACGGGTCGGGTTCAAATATTGTAAACCCGTTCAATTATCGGATTGATAATTTCAAATCCTACCCTATCAAAAAATTTATTGGGTTTTTTGGGTTGAAGTAGTTCGGGTTGCGGTCGGGTTAATTCGGTTTTCGGGTCCATTCGGATTTTAATTTATTATTGGTGAAATTGTGATAAATAAAATGGTAATTGGTAAAAATAGGGAAGAGGGTCAAATAGGCCCTCAAACTTACATAAAAAGGTCAAATAAGCCCTTATATAGGAGGCTCTGTCTGGCCGTCGCCATTTGGGGCAGTTACCGGTGGAATTTTTTTATGAAAGTTTTTGAGCATCTTATTCATTAAGTCTAGTTTACTCATACCAAATTTCAGCTAACAATTTAATCGGCAAGGCATTCAAAAGAATTCTTGAAGATAACTGCGCTTTTAACTGCGCAGTTATCTTCAAAAATTCATTTGAATGCCTTTCCGATTGAAGTTTTAGCTGGAATTTGGTATGAGTAAACTAGACTTAATGAATAAGATGTTAAAAAACTTTCACATGCCCGCCCGCATCTAGGAGCTTGGCCAGAAAGTGTATCTCAGGCTTGATCGCTGATTGCTCTTTTTCATCTTCAATTCCTGATCGATTCACTGTTGCTTTCAGTTATGCCAAAGTTTTGAGAGTTAGAGCCGTCCCTAGGAGACCCTAGGCGGCGAACTACTGGACGAATTTAATCTCCTGGCTTTCTCTTCTCCTATTCACAACAATCTTCGATGATGGCGACGTTCTATGGGCGGTAATGAATAATAAAAAAATTTCTTATATTGTTGCTCTTTTTTATTTCTACCTTCTTGGATGTTGGTTTTGGTCTGGCTTCTTCTATGGCCGAGAGTTATGTCCTCTTCATGTGAGCGAGAGTTTTGTTCTTCTCCTAGCAATGTCTAGAGGTTGTATCTTCCTCGTCGGTGTAACCGATCGAGTGGTTCATTATTCATGGTTGGCAAGACAGGTTCAACCTAGCTCTTCTCAAGCTCCAACTACCCGCCCTCCGCCTGAACCACCACCTCACTCTGGGAAAGAGATATCGCTCAACTGGATCTCCTTTTCGGTGGCTGGTCAAACCGACGATTCAGACATATTCTACTCAATTGAGTTTCCTTTGCTGGTGGTTGGTCAAACCAATTTTCCCTTTCCGGTGGCTGGTGAAGCCGGTCCTTTTAGTCGTCATTTTTTATTTTCTTTGTGGAGTAACAAGAAGAGCAGCAAAGCTGTTTGACTAGACTACATTATAGCGGGGTTAGCGATCTGGAAGGATTCATTGGATCTTTTCCGTTCTATGTCTCATCCCATTGTAGCCTTAGGCTATTCATCATATGCTTGTATCTTTGCTATCATTTAATAAATAAATGAATTATTTGATTTTAAAAAAAAATGTTCAAAAACTTTCATAAAACAATTCCACTAGGAACCACCCCAAATGACGACGGCCGGACAGAGCCTCCTAAATAAGCGCTTATTTGACCTTTTTATGTAAGTTCGAGGGTCTATCTGACCCTTTTCCAGGTAAAATTATCATTCAAAGTTATACTAGTATAACATTCAAAGTAATAGTTGCATTAATACAGTAATCGACATATTTGAACATGTAAAATAATAATATACGGTGATTGGCATATTTAATATTGTTATAAATAAAATGATAATTGATATATACAAATGATAATTGGTATATACGAGCTTAACAGTTAACACTGAACAGTACAATTAGGTATATAAGGAGTATACATGCCATGGAAATTTTGGGTGGTCGGGCGGGTCGGGTAGCATAATTGGCAACCTTACCCGCTACCCGCTTAAGTCTTGGGTTGCAAGAATGAGATCGGGTTTGGGTATTTTGGGTCGGGTTTTCCAATCTAAACAAAAGATTCGGATATATCCGGTTGGGTCAATCGGGTAGGGTCGGGTTTGCTCTCCGCTACCTGGGGGTCCTCGTCATTTCCGATCAACGACCCAATGGTCTCCATCCTGTCTGGAAAATGACCCGACAGTCTGTGTATGGTATCATTTTTTAAAGTGAATAGTTTTAAAAGAGCCATTGAGTTGTCAACCAATAAGAAAATGGGAAAAGAATTCATCAAACTAACTGTTGAGATTGATCGGGACCGGCCGGTTTCTATCCTGACTTTCCTATATGTGGGACCTAGTACCCTACTTAGCTTGTACTCGGTTCAGTTCCGAATTGGGACCGTACTTTTGGTCTTTTAGTCGGTCAAAGAACCGAGTGAAAATATTGTATGAACTTGTTTTCAAATTTGAAAATGAAAAACTAAAAAATGAAAAAAAAAAAAAACTGAAGATAGAAAAACTGGAAAATGAAAACATAAAGTTGAAGAATGGAAAACAAAAATAGAAAAGTGGAAAATATGTATGTTGGTAAACAAGCCCCTATATTTTTTCTTTTAAAGAGACTTTAGCTAAACAATGCCATGAAATCATATCATATTAAAATAGACTTCAGTAAAAAAACAAAAACAAAAACAAGTTCCGGCTATACTTGTATAGTAATGGGATGTGCATTTTTTCGTGTCATTGTACTTTTTTAGTAGGTGACCTTCTGATTAAATTACCCGGTTATTATGCCTGCCTGTCATTATACTTTTTTTCATTTTCATTTTTCTTTCCTTCTCTCCTTTTCTTTATTCTGCCTCCTTCTTTCTTCGCGTCCCTACTTTCTTAGTCAACCTTTTCTTAAAAATTGCTCTATATAGGATTAAAACATACGCAAAGTTTAAAAATAGGTCTAAGTATGTTTATTTCTCCAAATAGAACTTATATAGTCCTATTGAAAGAATAAGTTGATTAAAATACGAGTGAATGAGTCATATTTTGAGAACAAAATAAAGAGAGTCTTATTAATGAACTTAATGTTTGTTTTTTCTTTCTCATTCTTTTTCTCCTTTTTCTTCCTCCCTCTTCTTTTCCTCCGGCCCATCTTCTTCCTTGTTTCTTTCTTCTTTCTATCTTTCCCTCTTACCAACTAGTCAGACACACGCAACGATACACGAAAGAACAAATAACGGCAACTTTGGTCTCCTTCGTGAACTTATTTTCGTCGTCACCGATAATTGTACTAGTTTATTTGTGTCTCCATCGCCAGAAAGTTAGATTAAAGTTGAAAACATCACTGTTAGCAAGCCTGAAAGCTATGTTGAATATGAAGCCGTCGTCCCAACAACCTTATTTATTTTGAGGGGTAATTTGAGTTTGCACCCCATTTTATTGTTTAAATTGGACTTTGCACCCCGTTTTTAAAAACCTTTGTATTTGCACCCCAACCCCTTGTGAAAAGACAAAAATGCCCTTAGATAAGGAATATCTTGAAGGTCAACAAAATTGTTAATGGAGGGCATTTTTGTCTTTTCACAAGGGGTGGGGGTGCAAATACAAAATTTTATAAAAACATGGTGCAAAGTCAAATTTAGACAATAAAATGAGGTGCAAACTAAAATTACCCCTTATTTTGATTATTACTTGATCAAATTAAGAGTTAAGTGTCTAATCAAAAGAGCATAAAAAGGGTCATGCTCTTCTCCCTCACCCAAAGCATAATACCCGGACTTGGGGCTTCCCTTATTTATTCGTTTTCGACTCCCTTACCCGCCTCTATAAGCCCTACAGACCGCCGTTTCCAGTCGATTCTCACGGCCACGTATCTCCTTTGATGAGTCACCACCTCCCTTTCTGCTTATAACGCCATCTTTTCTACATCAGGAAACTCTGCTGCAGGTTGACGAAGACCGACTGGGGAATTTAATGGATTCTTTTCTTCCATTTCACGACCTCAATCTCCCGCTTGCCGCCTCCACCGCAACTCCCGCCGGCAAGGTTGTCCGAATAGTCGAGCCAAAGCCCGAACCGTTTGACGAATCCGCCACCCTTTCCGCCCTCAAAACAGCTCATTTCTCGTCAAACCCTACTCCCGCTTCCGATTTTGACTCCAGTGCAGTTTCCATTTTCGGCTTCTCTACTCCCCCTCCCCCTGCTCAGTCCACCAATGATAAAAGCAGCTTGAATGGCGTCGGAGGAGCAGATGTCTATTCGGAATTCAGCCGGATTTCCGAGATGTTCCGAGCCTCGTTCGCTCAGAAAATGGAGCAGTACGGGGACATGGAGGCTGAGGATGACCCGGATTCCAGAGCCATTGTTCCGGTGAACAACGACCATCACCTCTCCGGTGGTGCCATCTCGAGCACGGGTACTATCAAGCAACGCTCGGCGGAGCTGGTCAGGGTATCGGATCTCAAACCGGAAGACCAGATGTATTTCCGGGACTC